GAGTATCACGTTTTACTGCTATCGTTGCATGTTTGCACTCGGACGTTACTTTCAACGCTTAAAAATTCTAATTCTACTCATTATTATATTTTAATCGTCGCCTTGGCTCGACGATTCTCTCAGAGTTTGACGATCGGTCGTTCGGTCGTTCGTTCGTTCGGTCGTTCGGTCGTTCGTTCGTTCGTTTTTTTTTAATGACCAATAAATTATTTTGTTGGTTAAAAAATTGGAAATAGAACGTTTTCAAGAGATATCTGGCGTGCATCGAGGTCGAATAAATATCGCAAGGCGTGTTCATCCTTCTGTTACGCGCGTATACGATCCACCAGTTTGATTATATTATTCATAGGTACATATAGTATTATACATTAGCAGCGTCAAAGTAATCTCTCGAGCTCACTCTCTATAGTACTTTGAAAGAATTGGTTAAAAAAATAAACGCTCGTTGTATCGCCTGACGTCATGGGATATACATAAGATTTACGAATGGAAAGATCAACAATTATGACGCATTCCTATTACTGCATTTTCAGAAGGAAGCCGAATTTTGCTAGGCAAAATTGCACATTCCTGTAAGGGTACACCTCGCTATCGAATGATCCCGAGAGAGAGAGAGAGAGGCGGAGGCTTAATAACGTCACGATCTTGCCTTTGTAGGATAAGGGCTTCGCGAAATAGAGCTTTTTCTACGACGCGCATTCCAATGAAAATAGGATATCCTCGAATGTCTAAAAAAGGATATCCTTCCTTTTTTTTTTTTATTATACTCCGTATCTCTGTCTCCGTGAGACAAAAGTTTGACTGGAGAAATTGGAGCTATATAGTTTATTATCTTATCGAGAAGAAGAGCGAGAGATGATAGGAGGAAGGAAGGCATGGAATAATGAAATAAACAACTTTTCGTCGTCTTTATTTCATTGGAAACGTCTTCATCGTCAAAATTGAATTTTTGCGTAATATAATTAGGTTAGACTCCAATCGAATGAGAAAAAAGGAAAAAAAAAAAAAAAGAAAAAGTAGTGGATAATCCGAGAAGCCATCCATTAGCGTTGCTACTTCCCTCCTATCGATGTCTATGGATGTCCCGTTTTTTCAATTATACTGGTGATCTATAATTACGGTCATTCGTCTTAAGCAGGTGGACGAAATGTACACACACTCGCAAATACACAAGTGTGGCACTTGAAACGTTTCTATCTCTATTCGCTCGCTCGTTCGCTCGCAGCTATCGATATTTCGCGCAACTCTCTTTTTTCGTTAGCAGTTGTCTCGTTCGTTACGCATATGCGCCCAGAGTGATTAAAATCCACGAGCTTTCGCCGCGTCGTTAAATTTTTATCCATCTACTTTTTTATATTAACGCCAGCCCGTCGTTCATATAACTACATATATCTACTATTGCATATAATGTAGAATATAACATAGGATATAGGATATAACATGGAGAAGCGTTTCTTTGCAATTATTCTTCGGTGATAATCGATAAAGAATGCGAGAGTCGATTAAGCGCGTTTATTTAGGCGATTTGTAGGATTAAGCCGAAAGAAGGATCGACACACTCTAGAACGACGATTGCGTATCGCGAGCGAAAAGTAAATATCAAAAGAAATACAGCGTTCGCGTCGGATGATATTTGTTAAGCGCCGTTCAAAAATGTGCTCGTCTACCTTCCACCACCACCACCACCACCAGCTATAGGTATATCGTTTGATGATATTCGTAAATTATCTACTATGTAACGAAAATACTATAAATATGCGAAAAATACGTTTGGCATATTTCGCGAGCTTGGAACAATAACAAGAAGGGAGGGAGAACTAACACGAACTAACACGAACTAACACGACGAACTAACACATTCGCGCGTAGGACGCGTTGCGTCGATCATAAATTGTACAGTTTAATTCTATGCCGTTATGCATGTATTTCCATATATTTTTTTTACCTTTTTCTCCCCTTTTATTTTTGTATTTTCTTCTTTCATAGAGCAACAGCAGCTTTCGAAACGAGAGTGAGTGTTGCGAGCTTCGCAAATACGATCGAGTCTTGAAAGTTTTTCAATGAAATGTATTTTAGAGAACAAAATCCTACGAGAAAATCCATCGCTTGGGACGATAATAATGATTATCTTTTCTCTCTTAGGTGGTTGGTATTCCCTACGAAGGTATCTACGAGGTACCTATACCTTCGTTTAATACCTTTGTCATTAATTGATAGCCTTTCAATTGCAAATCGTCCACTAAAATGACAAATTTTCGGAGGAAGATGATCATCTTTTTCTTTTCGTCGTTACTTTACTATACCGTGAATTATTTATTAAAGCTACGCGACGTGTCGCAACGCGTCCCCTCGTCATACGCGCTTCGGGGAAAGATTTTTCATGCAAATTCGCTTATAAAATCGATGTTAATTTTTGTAAAATGATTACTACCACTACTACTACTACCACCATTTATGTGACAATAATGTTAACCAAGCTCTAGCTTGGCTCGACGGAAATTCCGTTGACCGTGCGTCGTTGCTCGATTCTACACACAGAGAGACACACACACACACCCTATTTTATCCAACAAATTTCCATTTTATTTTAGATCCGATCGAAAAATCTTCCATGCACGCGTTCTCCCTCGCCAAATAATACTAAACATAGAACAATTTGCAGGATGTTTGTCGTTTAACCGACTAATATTATTCTTTGAAGAAAAACTCGGCGAGGTCAAAAGTTTTTCCCTCGGTAGTCCATTAGAAGCGGTACGGACGATTTAGCAGAGGGAGCTTCCACCGACGCGCAGCCAGCTTTTAGGTCCAGCAATTTGATGCTCGTTGCTTGTCATGCTAATATCCTCAGCTTTATAACGTAGCGCGTTTTTCTTCGCGTCATGATATATGCGAAAATATCTCACCCGCACGATCTTTCGTAACTCGAGCGTCGTTGAGAAAGCCTACATCCTTCTTCGCCATTTTATCTACTTTTTTTCATCTTCTCTATCTATTATTTTTCAAATGGCTAAGGTGAGAGGTACCTAATATCTCCCTATCTCTTTCGATAGTCGAATTACAATGGAATCAAAACAAAAGATAGTCGAGTCGTTTCTCTTCTTTCTGCGTAGAATACTTTCAATCTATTCTTATCTAAATCCTTTTGTTCGCTATTCGTGTTGAATCGTAAAAGACCTTTTTTATCGTTCGGTAGCGCGAGCCAAAGGTCGCGTTTCGTTTTGTGACCTTCTTGCGAATCGACTGGTAAATGAAAATATTCTAAGAGCACGTCTGATATAATCTACGCGCGGACCTCAAAGAGTTGTCTATCTTTTTTTTTTTCGAGAGCTCGCGCATACGGTACATAGATAATCCGATAAAAAGGTCGCACCTTGAGAGAAAATAAAAAGCTCAAAGATATCGTCCGGTGTCTGAGAAATATATTCACCTTGCGCGACGCCGGGTGAGAACAGTTTTTCCTTCCTTTTCTGCGATTCGCTCGTAAACGCTCTTGATATTAATGTTCTCATTACGATACATCTCCAAACTAGAGATACACTTGTGCTCAAGAAAGATAGAGTGACAGAGAGAGAGAGAGAGAGAGAGAGAGAGAGAGAGAGAGAGAGAGAAGAAAGGATCCTCCAGTCGGCCCCTTTCAAGCTTCTTGACACAGAATCTCCGAGTAGTAATAGTAAATTAGTCCAACCGAAACATCAGCCGCACTCTTCGCCCTAACAAGACCAAGTACAATTAAATCCTTAAGGTGAACAATGTCGCTACTTTAAGGAAGGTCGTTCGATGAAACGTCACATTTCGCGACACGAATTAACTAACGAGAAGACAAAAAATACCGATTTCATAGAATCGAATTAATTGCTATTGCGTAAACTCTCGAGCAGAGAAGAAATTGTTTCTCGGCAACTTTGAAAGTTGATCTTTGGTGAGTGGTGTTGTCGAGGCAAGGCGAGGCGAGGCGCCGGCAATCTACTCGGCGAGTTGCTGCTAACTTTGAAGAAAGATAAAACAAAATGAGAGTCATCAAAATGTATATTGTAAACATGGACTTTGGAGACTTTGGAGACTTTGGTCTCGAGGCCGAGAAGTTTGTGGGTAAAGGGAGAAGGAGCAGCCTTTTTGACAATTGACTTTTGCCTCTTTGTAAATAGGATCTAGGTGGATCGAGGTATTTTCCAGTTGGCGGGGCTTTAAACCCATTCGTATAGGCACCACTTGGATTTGGGCGCGTGAAGCGTGAAGTGCGTCATCGAGTCGCAGTTTCTCGTGTCAAAGCATACCTTTCGACCACTCTGGCCTGCCTGCTTTGTCTCACCCTTTCGTTCTACCTTCTTTCCAAAGTAAAGCCGCAACAGGCAAACAGCATCCGACTCTTATGGCACCGATAATTCTGTCAACGAATCCACTTATCCGCATAGAAATAGTTATATCGACTTCGAAAGGAAGAAACAAGAGTCGAGGAGAAGGTTATAAAAGGGAAACTTTGTCCTCGTATATGGTCGTATATGGTCGATCGAGCGAAAGTCGATCCCTTGCGATGCGATCGCGACCGTTTAAAATGACAACGTAACTCTAGAGCCAAGCCGAGCCGGACACCATTTAGCTTCGAATGCTTTTCAAATGAACGTTCAGAGCTACAACCAGGGAAATCGGAGCCCTTTGCGAACAATCTTATCGTCTACGGGAGGGAGGAGTTTGGGTGGGGGCTTAGCTTGAGTTATCCTTCGATGTATTCGTGTTTACAAGCACATGTCGATATATAACGCGTTGTTCCGAAAAACATACGAAGACAGAGAAGAGAGGTAAAAGGGAGCTAAAAGGGAGGTAAAAGGGAGCTAAAAGGGGGTCCAAATTCCTTCACTCTCTGTTCGATGCAATAGCATCGAATTACAGACGTGGTGTATCGTCGCTTCCTTTGAAATTGCATCCGATCGGTATGGCCACGCGATCATCGCGCCCACCTTCGACGAAACGACTCGTTCGAAATAATTTTCTTTTATTTTCAGCTTGTACTCCGAGCCAGTTCAAATGCAAGAACGAAGAGTGCATCGACGGAAGCAAACATTGCGACGGAATTCCGGATTGTCGAGACAGATCGGACGAGTACGATTGTCGTGAGTATCCAATGGAAAAACAGAGTAATTGTGTGCTTATCATCATATTTTGTTGTGTACGTGTTTGTGCGTAATTTGTTTAAGCCGATTTATAATGCAACCTCGGGGGTGTGAGTGCAAATGTTTATAAGTGAACCGTCTCACGCATACTCAGAAGGACAAAAAGCAGTTCGAGCTAATGGCAAACTTTTGCACTCTCGAATATTTTTGTCGTTGGAAAGTTATTTTTGCTTTTCCTTTATCTTAAATTTATTTTCATCGTGAATGTGTCGAATAAGGTGTAAACGGTCGATATTCATCAACGTCGATTAGAACTTAGGATGATCAATTATTCAATTTCTATCGAATTGAAAACGTAGCAACTCGACGCATTACTTTTAGCGATTGTTCGCATGCGGTGGAACTAATTCACGTAGGAGGTATTACGATGAGTTGCTCAATAATTCTAATAGCTGTGACAATGGCGATGGCGTGCGAAGCTAGCGAAGGGTGCTTGTAGTCGAGGCCGTTGCACTTAGGGTGGTGCACTTTGGGTGGTAGCTTGGGTCGAGGAAACGCCGATCCAACTCTTTATTATTTCCGGCGTCTTTTGTCGTGGCATACGAGGGGCGAGCGCTTCCGGTCGCGCGTCTCCACCGCCTAATCGCCTAATCGCCTAATCGCCTAATCACCTATAACCGAGTTGCATTTGGAATAAGTTTTCCGTCGCTTCATCGATCCAATTTTGTTTTCTTTTTTGTTGCCTTTTGAAAAGGCAACGTACGCGAGTACTCTCTCTCTCTCTCTCTCTCTCTCTCTCTCTCTCTCTCTCTCTCTCCCGTTCGTTCTCCATTTTTAATTCGATGGTTCGTTAGCAATTTCGTAGCCAATGATTGGCGGGAGTCGCGGTGCCGCGTATGAAAACAAAATGAAAACAAAATGAAAACAAAAAAGTGGAAAATGAAGGGAAAAAGAGGAAGATAAAGAAGAGAAAGCAGCAACCCTTTTTTTCAGCACGGACAAATCCGTCCGGGCCCTTGCCGAACGAGATTTACTCCCGTTTATTAAGCCGCCCTAATAACCGGCCACAATTTTAATCCGACGTTAATCTGCAGCGGTCGCGCCGACCAAACGCTCGGCCCTCTTTCCATCAGCGTTCTGTCCAGGAATTTCACATTTTCACCGGTTTAATCCAATTCGGATTCGCGAGGAAACGCGGAAGGAACGGAGGAGAAAACAGAAGGATAACACGTAGCGCTCTTTTTTTCTGGCGTTTCGCGCCTACCGCGCTCACCAACGAAAAAACCAACGAAAAAACCAACGGAAAAACCATTGAAATTCATGGATCGTAATGGAGAGGCACGTACCTTCGTACCTGCGTATCTGCGTACGTACGTACGTACGTACGTATGCGGCTACGGTAAATCGTTTTAAATGAAAACTCGATTGGCAACGCATGAGCGCTACCAATCGAGCCGAGTCATATATTTCCCGCTCGCATTCAAATCTATCCGACTGCGATTGTATTAGCCGCGGTTTACCACCTCCTCCTCCTCCTCCTCCTCCTCCTCCTCCTCCTCGCTTTACATTTCTCTCGGTTTTTTCCCAAAGGATAATGTAGGTCCTAGTATCCTAGTGCCTAGAGTGCCCATCGATTTCTGCATTTCACGCTTCGCGAAAAAGCCCGCGCGGTAAATTAAAACGCAATGTGATACGTGACAGTGACGAAGAAATATTTCTCGATCGTGAGCGTGCACGTTGCGTCCCATTTCGTTATTAACAATTCCACGAGGACGTTGGAAAAAAAAGAAAAAAAAGAAACGATTTTTTTAGTTTATTCCTGACTAAATAGGTTCCTACAAACACCTCTTTAGCATTGATTCGTTATTTTGTGCTTTTCGTCAAAGTGTATGTACACTAACTAAATGCGTATTTTTGATCATCGACTTACGAATATTTTCATTGGGATCGTCTTCCTCTGTGTTAAATGTGTCATCGTTTCGTTGATATCAACGCTTCCCGTAAAAGGAAAAAATCCGTTGTCTCGCACTAGATTGTCTCGCATTTCCGTAGAGATTTCTCTTTATCCGTGATTCTTACAGCATGCAAAGAAGACCAATTTGAGTGCTCGGCCGGTTACTGCGTGGCCTTATCTCGTCGATGCGACGGATTCGCCGATTGTTCCAACGGAAAGGACGAACAGAATTGTATCCATAAGAGTATGAGATATTATTTACTATACTACTTGCATAGTTAGCATAATTCAAGGTGGCAATAGTAGGCCTAGAAAGTTCTTTGACAATAACGCGAATGACAAGAAATATTTTGATCGAGAGTGCATATTATCATCGTTGCATGGAACGATCGAAAGGACTTGTTGTCGCGCACCGTAAACAACAAAAAACTACCGTGTCACTGTTGTGTTTTCTTAACCGTATTTTTCTTACTTTATTTGTTCATTTCCTTTTATTTATGTATATTTTCTTTTGCTTGATATTTTTTCAATGCACGAACGCGTACACACACGGGACACTTATATAGCAAGATGCCGAGAGGACGAATTCGAATGCGACAACGGTAGGAGGTGCGTTAGCAACATGGCAAGATGTAATGGACGCATAGACTGCGACGATCGTACCGACGAATATAATTGCACCGGTATTATTGATTGTTTTATTTCATTTTTGTCTTTTTCTTTTTCTTTTTTTTTTCGAAATCTTACTTTTCGAAAATTAGTATTTATCCGCTCTAACGTATTTCTCGGATTTTTCGTGATGTTTTTCAGTGACGACTTGTAGCAGCGATCAATTCCGTTGCACCGACGGTACCTGTTTGAGCATCGACAAAAGATGCAACGGCATGGACGATTGTCGCAACGGCGAGGACGAAAATCAATGCGGTGAGTGACTCTTCGGTTTGTCGGTTTTAGGATTTTTCGATTTTAGGATTTTTCGATTTAGCGAATAACTACTATATGAGAGAGGATGACCTTTATCTGGATCGTATCGTCGAATACGCGCTAAATACTCTTCTCGTGTATTTCATGGTAAATGCTTCGATCGAGAGAGTTAACCAATTCGAGGGGACAGCGTTTTTTCGATGTCCTCTCTTAGTAAATGGAACATGCGATTAACCCTGGCTTCTTGCGATATCTTATTATGATGATACTACTTGCGTCCTTCGCCCCTCGAAACTTCCTCCTCGTGGATCCTTTTTATACGGCATATCTTTCTAGGATCTAAAAGGCTAACTTTGATAGAATTCTTCCATCGCGTATCGTTAAACTTTCAACAATCTGAAGATTCGGTAAAAGAAGAAAGCGTAATTAGGCGTAGCTAAATGTTATGTCATTTTTAAATCGATATGGTTCAATTATAGACATTTTCACGCGGCGCGTTATCGCGTATTATATCTTTTCATTTTTCACGTCGCTTCTCGTCAAATTTATCCTTTAAAGTTATTATCCGTTTGCGCTCGACGTGACATTCGATCATTGAATTTTTCACGGCGATCAAACATCCGTCCGAGCGTGAGTTAAAGTTAATCGAAGGCCGAGGAGGAAACGGTGCTAACGGTAAGGGTAAGAGCTTTGCTAAAGCGGTTGAGGGTGGATAAGAAAGAAAGGGTTGATGATCATCTTTAAACGCGCATGAGTGTGTGGTGTATGGAGCAGGTTGCAGAGATGCGGAATTTCGGTGCACGGACGGCCGATGTATAGGCTACGAGTTGCAGTGCAACGGGCTGAACGACTGTTCCGATGGCTCAGATGAGAGGGATTGCGGTAATTATGCTATTCATATCACATACCTTTATCACATACCATTATCACATACCTTTATTACATACCTTTATTACATGCCTTCTTTTACACCTAACAACGCAACTACAGTCACGGACGCGAACAATCTGCCAATCGCGCGAGATTGGTCGATTGCGCGATTAAAACTTCTTTTTTACTATATATTTCCATCTTTGATCAAATTCTCGATTCATTGTTATCTTAGAGAAATACCGGCGACGAAAGATTTATAATTCCAAACGCTTGGAAGCGATCGTAAGAAAGTTGTTCAAGGCTAAGGAAGAACAGCGACCGAGAAAGAATACAAATGTTCAAATAAGTCAACTCAATTTCAAGGATAAACATTCGATTCTCGCAATCTGTTCCGAGTATATTTTGAAGAACGATACGTCGAATATCGTTCGAAATCGTCGATGCGCTGCCATCTTTCGAAAACTTGCCATGCAATGGATCAATTATTGGAAATATCATGAAAACAATCAAAACAAAAAGAAACAAAAAATCCTTTCCTCGTTATTAAGATCTTTTCCCGAGTTGGAAAATGGCAAATTGAAAAATTCGAATGCGATTCAAGCCGATGATTCCAATTCATCTCAACATTTGATAGAAAATATCCAAATTTCTACTACTACTACTACTACTATTCCTACTACTCCTCGTATGGAGAGTCAAGCTGATTTTTCAAGCAGTACCACCGAACTTTTGGAAGGTTATTCAACTAGTACGAAGAGATATTTCGATTCGATCGAGGATTCGTCCGAGAAAAATTCCAGCACAACGACTTTTACTTTGTCGACTGGGCTTGACGACTACGAAACGGTGACGACGACGACGACGACGACGACGACGACGATCGATGACGAGGAAATGAACGAAACGCACCATGAAATAAATTCTGACGACCACTTAAACGAGGATACATTCAAAGATTCTATCGAAGAGACCTCAACCTTGGGAAGAATTCAATTGGGGACTAATCATTCGGAACCAAATGAAAGTAGTAACAAACTTTCAACGATATCGCATTACAATTCGCAAGAGGAAGAAGAGGAGGAGGAGGAGGAGGAGGAAGAAGAAGAGGACGAAGATGAAGATGAAGATGAAGATGAAGATGAAGATGAAGACGAAAAGATCGACAAGTGCAATGACGACGAATTCTTTTGCGACAAGGACAAGTGTATCTCGGAGGAAGAAGTTTGCAACGATGTTTTGGATTGTAACGATCGTACTGACGAGAATGACTGCGATTATTATGATAGTATGAAGAAAACATTTGAGGAAGGTAGCGCAAAGCCCTGCAATCTCTTTCGATTTTCTTGCAACGGGATGTGCATAAATCCGCTTCTCGTATGCGACGATATCGACGATTGTCCCGATGGCAGCGACGAAAAGGATTGCGGTGATTTCACGGATGAAGGTAGAGACAGTGTCACTCGTTCGTTCTTTCTTCGCCTATACTTTAAACTCTATCTTCTCTCAATGTTGTAGAAAAATGTACGAGCTTCCTTGGAATTAGAAAATCGTGTGTCCATTGTCGGTTCATTTGTTTCTCTCTTAGTTAGTTGGAATTTATTGGTCAAAACGACGACACATCGTTGATTAACTTTGTCCTGTACATAAACTGTACATAAACATGATACACTTGATCTACACACACGCATACATCTCTCTCTCTCTCTCTCTCTCTCTCTCTCTATCATAAGCTTATTTACATTGCTTTATATGTTAGAAGACATGTTTTTTAGATACGCTGAGATTCCTGATAATACGATTAACATAAGAGATTGTCGTTTAAAAGCGATTAATCGTCAATGTCGTCATCGTCGTGAGCTTTGTGTGTTTTATCGGTTTAACGATAAATCCCATGTCGTCGTCGTCGTCGTCGACAGGTCGTGGCTTGTCGTGGCTAAAATCGCTTTAAATGTGTCTCTTTCTGTAAATTCTTTAGCTCGTAGCTCGTAGAAATCGGGCTACTCGAGAGTAACTTACTCGAGAGTAAGCGTTTTCTCGGGAATTCTCGGAATATGATGATCATCTAGAGGAAAATGTCGAGATGTTCCTCTTTTGTTTTTGGGCTCCACTAGGTTTGGCCCCCTGCCCTTCCACGGACTTCACCTGCGGCGATGGTTCTTGCATACCGAAGAATACGGTCTGCGACGGATTCGACGACTGCCCGAGGGCAGAAGACGAGCTTAATTGCGGTACATAACCTTTTACCCTTTTCATGATATTCGTCGCAACGGCAGATCAATCGTCTTACATGGATTAATAATTGAGATTAAATGTCGATCTCTGCCGTTGTTGTTGCGTTCTTTCATGAAGCTCCGCCGCTTCGCTAATAAGACTACTTCCAATTTATGTTGAAAGTTATCGGTGCTTGTCTATCGATCTATCGCTATTGCTTAACTCCTTCTACGATACGTGTTAAGATTTAAGATGAGATAATATTTTATTCGTAGGGGCTTTTCTACGAATGACTTTCTCAACTTAAAAGCACACCCCATAGTACACCTTTGTTCTTCTTCTTCTTCTTATCGTTAATTAGTAGCTTGAAAGAAAAGTGTGGCGCTTCGTGAAATTAAAAGGGTCTTTGCGACTCGTCGAATCGAATAAATGCTTATTACCATTTCGGTTCCCCTTCAAATAGACTTTTAATAGATTTTTTCTTGTCCCCTCTTTCATTCAATAGTACTAGTTGCGCGAATCTCACATTAGAGCGTATCGATTTATTGTGTGTTCTCTGCTCATATGTCACGCTGAATGACAAACAAACACAGACCAGGAATGTACGCCAACGCAGTTCAAATGTCTCAGCGAGAACAAGTGCATCGAGGGTATCTACAGATGCGACGGCCATCCGGATTGTCCAGATCGCAGCGACGAGGACTGTGCTAACGATACGATTAAACATACCAGCCTGCCTACGAGTACGCTTACTTTTTATATGTGTCTTTGTCGCTTTCCATCAATCATCTTCGATGATCATCGTCGGGGAGACGCGCAACGTCATCGTTGCAACAAATCTATTTACACAACTATTACTACTGCTGCTACTGCTACTGTTACTGCTACTGCTACTGCTACTATTACGGTTGCGCATCCTCGACGATGAAATTCGTAGAAAATCTAGCAATTGAAAATAATTGCAAAAATATTAGTCTTGGCTTTCTCTCTTGTATACTCGTTTGAAAATATCCGTAGCTGGCACTGTTTGCATAGCTTTCCTTCCTCTTTCTTTGCTCGTTTCCTTTTTGCATCGGAGAATACGTTGAGTATGTGTATGTGATGTGCCGTCAGACCGAACCTGGCAAGGATGGGCAACGACGAGTAAGGAAACGAAGGAATGCGATCCTAATCGTGAAATGCGCTGCGACGATGGCAAGTGCGTGCTTCTCAAACGTAAATGTGACAATATCTTCGACTGTCTTGACGGTAGCGACGAGCGTGGTTGCGGTAAGAGCTTTTTTTCCGCTATTACTTTATTTTCTCTTATCTTTACATAGATATTTTCATGCTCGCGATGATATTAGTTTGTCGAATATATACGATCGAACGATATAATCTCTAGCTTTATTCGTAAGCTTGTGTGTGTGTCTGTGTATGTGGCTTGTGTTTGATAAAAGGAATCTGCACGCCTGCCGAGTGGAAGTGCGCCAGTGGCGAATGCTTGCCAGAAAACGAAAGATGCGACGGGATACGCAATTGTGCCGATGGATCCGACGAATCTGGATGTGGTAACTATTTACTTCCATCATCATCATCATAATTTTCACACCGTGAAATTAAATATTTGTTCGACTCATTGATTATTATATCATTTGCAATACGCGCATTCACCGCTAGGGATTACACAGTACAGTGTATGCTTTTAAATCTCCAATCGTATCGATGCACCGAAAGTAATTACGTTTATCATCAAATGAATTATCGTGCTTGACGCGAGTACTCAAAGTCACATTACTAGCAATGACACTTTGTTATGTATGTATATTACATTTTTCATATTGTTATTTCATTCTTGTAGAAAAATTGCAAGGGTCAACGTTCGCGCATGATTAATAATAGTCGAATAAATACAATTTAAAAAGAGACGTGTTTATCCCATCGAGAAAGGTTTATCAATTTCTCAAAGCCTCGTTTTATCCTTGATCGACGCGACAGTCATCTTGTCTTTTATGCTCACGGAACGTTGTATCTAATAAGTAGAACGATCAATCCAAACAAATATATCTTCGTTCGTTGGTTCGTTTGTTCAACTTTCTCGATATGACTACTACGTAATCTTGCATCTCGGTTAAACTGCAAGAGCACACACACACATCTACATAGATAATCACGTTCGCTCGCGTCGTCGTACGCCAACCGAATACGGAATAAGAATTTGAAAGGTCAATGAAAGGCCTGTAATATCACTTTATCGCACGTTCTCTTGATTAACCCACTTTATCTTATCTTTCATTTTCTTCGAGAAAAGTGAAAAGAAATATTCAAACGCGGTGATGCATGCGTTTCAGCCTCTCTTCTTTTGTTCATTCTGCATTCTCGAGTAGAAACTTTGAGAGTAGACGAGTAAAGATTTCATTAAGGACTGTTTGGGATTGCACGTTTATGCATAAAAGATGAACGAACGCACGTTCGAATCATTTTTTAGCGGGGGGCGGGAAGTGGGGGCTTAGCTAATTATTACATACATTGTATCGTGGGACGCATGTTTTCTTCTACTTGTCATTAAAAAATACTTATTCAAATATCAAATCTAAGAGTAAACACGCAAATACCTAAATATAATAGCCAACACCTAATACGTAGGTATATAGGATATTACTAACCGTAAATTTTTACTAACATTTGGATTGGGTTCTGAGGTATTTAAGAAATGGGAACAAACTAACAACTAAGAGTTGCCTATGCACGATGTAATAACGTTAAATAAATTTAGAATTGAATAATTATTGTAGTCACTGAATGTCCGCCTGGAAAGTTTCGATGCAAGGACGGATTGTGCCTCGACAGTAAGAAACGTTGCGATGGACGATCGCACTGCTTGGACGGCTCCGATGAGATCAATTGCCGTACGGTCACGATGTGTCTGCATTTATATCGATTATATCAAACGATAGGACAATTCTTATGAACTAAAGACAAAATATCTATCAGGCTAATTATTTGATTCTTGTTGTCCAACACGATAAGAATTGTCCTAGCGCGTGGAAATGTTATCTATTATATTTCTCCTCTTTCTCTCTCTCTCTATCTCTCCGCAACGTAATATACTTATCCTTTTTTTTTCTTTCACTCTTCTTTTACTTTTCTTTTCTCTCTTATTCTATCTATCCCATCGTATATCCTTCGTCCGCTTTTTTATATTTTTGTCTCTGATTTAATTTTTTTTTTTATCGTACCTACTCTTCTCCGCTCTTGATCTCACAGTAGAATCACGTAATGTAATCTCAGCAGCGTACCGGCTCGTCTCTTATACCACCACGTATCCAAAGAATTACTCTCTATCTAGGACTTTTGAAATTCTTATTATTAACCGATGTTTTCTTATAACGTTTCTTTGTATTCTTTACGGTATCTTTACAACGAGATAATGCAAAAGTTGGATCGAACTGTAACGTGTGATGGATTGCGCTTGTTTGTTCCACTCTCTCTCTCTCTCTCTCTCTCTCGCTCTCTGCTGTAGTTAAGAAGCTTAAAAAGTCGCGCGCGCGAGCAGGCATATATGCAGCAGGTACGTAGAGAGGCAGGTGGAAAGCGTTAATCTCATTTTGACGGTGTATCGACCGTTTGCGTTTTAGCCGGACGTTGACTGGCATTAACTTCAATGCCGGACATTGTCGGCGACCTCGTTTTTGACCTCGGCAGCGATTCCTCTCTTTTACTTTGTTTCTTTTTCCCATATCCTCTCGTCTTGGGTATCGCTATTTTACTCTTTATCTACATATATATATATATACATATACTAACTATTATATTAATCTATTTTATATCTTTTTATATCTGTTATGAAATATTTTCTTCTAGTTTTTGGACTTTTTCTATCTTCTTACAGGTCGCCCGAGTTCTTAGCGATCGAGCACTTCGAATCTCTATATATTATACTATGTCTTCATGTATATACATATTATACGTATTCTTACTACTTCGGTTGATCTATCTTTTTTCCCTCTTTATCTCTTTATTTTTCTCTCTCTCTCTCTCTCTCTCTATCTCTCTTGCTCTGATATTTGCACGTTACATCGCATTCTGCGAGTATGTAGGACGACGATGCGCGAAAAGAATCCTTTGATAATTTGTCCATTTAATTATCGAGAGAATAGGATGCACGTGCATCGTCGTCGTGCCTTGTGGCATCGATTAAAGATGACGTTTGACGATCGAAACTCTGACATTTTGCAGAATGCTTGGTTGGCATGCGACCTTGCGACAACGGCGTTTGCATCGACGAGAGATTTTTCTGCGATGGCAATGTCGACTGTCTGGATCATAGCGATGAACGCGATTGCCGTAAGGATGCTGTTTCATTTTGTTCCCAGTCAAAAATACTTACTTAACAATAACAGAATTTGATCTTTTGTTTTGTTTTTCTATGTTGTTCTTCAGCAACCACTGAAGCGACCAATCAAGGAGGTTCTTCGAGGGAGGAATGTCGCCACGAGGAATTCACTTGCAACGATGGAACTTGCATACCTCGAGATTACGTTTGCAACGGTCGACAGGATTGTCGAGAGGGTGAGGACGAACGCAACTGTCCCTCTGAAGGTGAGTACGACTTGATTAAAACTATTGTTTAAATGAAAAAAAAAAAAAAAAAAAAAAAATGTAAAATGGTGAAAGCGACGATAGCTCTTACTTGCTTGGCTGTTAGAGACTCGAGGACGAGTAATAATAATAAAAGATTTGCTTTGAAAATCGAAAGAGAAAAAGTATTACTTGTTACCTTTACGCACGTAGTCGTCGCGATCGAGGTCTCTTTGTAAATAACGGCACCGCATATCACCAGGATTATTCTCCTTCACCGCATATCACTTTGCACACTTTACCGAGAAGAGATCGTTTCGACGCACGGGGGCCGACCATATAAAGTACGTACCTACGCACCTGTCCATCTATTATAACGGGGTTGGCCGTAATTAATTCGCGACTGATTCTCCCCTTCGGGTTTATTTTGAGGAAGGAGGAAAAATAGTAACGAGCAAATGGCTTGAGAAAACAAACACAGATTCGGTTACTTCTAGGTCTCGTAGATGAGCATCCAGAGAACGTCGCGGGAGTACCTTCCCCCCCACAAACGGATGCTAATGCTCCCGAGTTGCCGACTAATCTGAGCACGCCGAGGAGTTGTGCTCCGGATGATTTTCTTTGTGCCGACGGCACTTGCATCCCCAAAACTCATCACTGCGACCATTTCTACGATTGTCGCGACTTTACCGACGAACAATACTGCTTCGGTTAGATCACCTTGATTCGTAGACCTAGATAATCTTTGACAATTACTATCTACATCGATCCCATCTATCTTTATTTCGTTCATTGATTCTCTTGGTCTACGCTGCATTTCCTATCAGTTTGTGTTAGACGCTGGATAGAAGATGTGTAGGTTGTTTAGTAGAAATTTGAATAATATACATTATACATTATATATACCGTCGAATCGTTGCGATCTCGTTATCGGACGCACCCTTTTTCCCAATAGTGCATTTTTGCCTGATATTCGAGTACTGAATTGTTCCCTTTGACTCCTGTTCCCTTAGATAGAGAGCATTTTTAGTCGTCAGAGCATCTCATCGTGTGCAGCATGCTTAGAATGATATGATGAATATTGTAGAATTCTTGCTGCGTGCAAATCATTTATACGCTCTCCAAAGTATCGATATATTTGATCGATTCATGGTAAAACTCCGTCGTCTACGAATATAAAAAGATGCGTGTTCTTTTGAAATTTCTACCTTTGTCAATTGCAAGGAATTTTCCCATGAATCGTCGTCGATTGTCTTCTTTCCTTTTTCTTTTCTCTTTTCTTTTTAAGTAAGTATTTTTTTCGTAGTAAAATAGTTTGATTCTTGTCAGTTTGTAATTATATTTCTAAGACTACGTTAAGTAGATAGCAACCCTTTTATCTCTGTTATCTCTGTTATCTCTGTATGCACTGTTTCATTTTAATATATTAAATAATTGTACATTTTTGAACGTTACTCGTTCTTGGCAAGTTATACTCGATCAAAAATCTTCTTCGCCACATCCTATTGTTCTATTTTAGATATATTTGTTTAGAAAGTAATCCAAGTAATTGATTATTTGATTTGTTGTCGTCGTCATCGTTTTCGTCTTCGTCTTCGTCTTCGTCGTCGTCGTCGTCGTCGTCGTCGTTGTCGTTGTCGTTGTCGTCTAATTTCTACGGTATCGCATATTATCATATTTTTCACTAATCATTTATGTATTTTTAACTGAAATAACAAAATTAAAATATAATCATTATAAAGAAAGGATTGATTTGGATGTTGGATTTTAGGATGCGGACAAGATCAATTCCAATGCAGAACCGGCGATTGCATTAGAATCGACCAAAAGTGTGACAGACGTATCGATTGCGAAGACGGCTCGGACGAACCTGCCGAATGTGGTAATCATTCAAAATGATAATCTTAGATGAGCCCTATCGATATTTTTGCCCTTGTCGATTTTCCTATTGTTGCCTATTGTTCTCTTTATTTTTGTCAGAGACAACGCTCGAACCAGGACCGGGTGGTCATCCTATGCCAGGTCGTTGCCCTGCTGGTCAATTCCAATGCGTTCTAGACAGGGCCTGCGTTCCCATCTCTTCCGTTTGCAACGGCATTCCTGAATGCAGAGATGCCACCGACGAAGACAATTGCGGTAAGAAACTTGAATGAATTAAGAAAGAAACTTTTTGAGGATTTTTTCCAAATGATGGCGATCGATCAATCGAATCAAAGATTACACCGAGGACTGTTCGTCGGACGAGTGGACATGCGAGAATGGTGGTTGCATTTATCTCTACCAACGTTGTAACCAATTCGGCGATTGTCCGTTCGACGATAGCGACGAGATTGGCTGCAATTATACGCTTACCGAGAAAAATAAGACTAGATGCGAGCCACACGAGTGGAAATGCAAGAATGGCCAGTGTATACCGTTGTCTCGACGATGCGACAAAAGGTTCGACTGTCCTACGGACATGTCCGACGAATACGACTGCAGTTACGATTTGCGTGAGTTGGCAAATGCAGCAACAACAACAACAACAACAACAAACAATCCTTTTTTCATTCCTACATCGGCGAACAACATCGTCGACAATTAATATTTCAAGATAACAAGGATGATAATAAATATTCGCATGCTCATTACTACAATATCCTGAAACAACTCGTCGAGCATATCGTACGAGCACAAAATGTTTTCCAATTGCGAATGTCTTTTCCATTATTGCATTATTTCTATAAACAATATTCACAGATTAACAGCGGATCAACTAACGTACCTATGTAACGCTCGATGGAATTTAATAGCAACCTAAATTTATGTAACAAGTTGTTCCTTCCAACACCTTCTTACTACTTAATTACTTACGCGTGGATTTTTTCTTTGTACAGGTCAAACCGGTGGATCGAGCGGTCTCAACTTGAAAACTTATCCGAGCGAGCAAGTGATCAAAGAGAGTACGTATACGAAATTATTTTCTTTTCGTTAAATTGGACACGGAACAACGCGAACGATAATTATTCGAAATAGTTTAATGGATTAAAATAATATCCACCCAGATAGACAGATAGACAGATAGACAGGCAGATAGACAGACATACAGGCAGGCAGGCAGGCAATCGAAAAGTAAAGTTAATTAATATTCATGTTTCTTGTGTTTTTCTTGCCTTGATCAGACCCGGCGAAGCAAGGTAAGAGATTTGACAAAGTAATAAGCAATAGAAACGCTGTGGGTTCGCAATAATCTTCATTCTTCATTACAGAGAAAAAAAATCTTATTAATATAAGACGTATCACACCTCGTTGGGGTTTACTTACATTATGCGTTTTCATAAAATCACGCATTTCAAAAAACAACTTACGCGTCAAAAAACATCAACAATAGAACGACCAAATTGACGCACTTACATGTCTTTATTACTCGGAATCATTTAAATAATACATGAAACACGTTGCAACACGCTAATCCGTTCGAAGGAGAAAAAACTACTCGTGCATGAAATTTGGCTTGGCATGATTCCACGATTCCACGATCCCATTTTTTTATAGGGAAAAAAATCCTAAAATACTAAATACCTAGTGTTCAAATATTAATAGATAAATGATATTACTTTGCTAAGGAAATATGCAATTTGTTGATACTCGGATAAAAACAAGTAACATTAACTTCGTACTAATTGTAGTAACTCTTGGCGTTAACGTAACTGCGATAAATTTGCACGTTGCACGATGAAACTAGCACATTAGTCTTAGCTAACGCGACTATAAATCGGCCCTTAGGGGCGTTAAGAGTCGCCCGTTATGGAATAACATAATCCTCGACTCGGAAGGATCGAGGAAGGATCGACTAGGGAAAGGATTGTTGAATAACGCACATCGTGCATTACCTCTCGCATTACCGTACACAGGCCGCGAGGTCGTCTTCCAATGCCGTGACGAAGGTCCTCTGCGTGCAAGAGTACACTGGCTTCGTGATAATAATCTTCCTCTGCCGCCTGCCAGTCGAGATCTAAATGGTAGATTGGAAATACCAAACATTCAGCTCGATCATGCGGGAATTTACATTTGCGAAGCGGTGGGCTATCCTCCATCCACGCCAGGAAGTCGACTTACCGTAAATCTCACTGTTGAAAAGTGTACGTATTAATATCTTCATCCATGGGAAATGAATGATATTATATGATATGATATGAAAAATATTAGCCACATTTGTTTTGACTAATTTGTCCACAGTCGAAGAACCCGCGACGAGGCCCCCACAAGTTTGTCAATACGATCAGGCAACTTGCATCAATGGAGATTGCATTCCTAAATCGTACGTCTGCGATGGAAAATTCGACTGTACGGATGGCTCTGACGAGATGAGATGCAGTACGTATTGCGCTACCATTTTTTCAGCTAATCATTATAATAAATACCATAATGTGTGTACCTTCTTAATTGCATTTACAGGTCCACACGGATGTGAACCCAACCAATTTCGATGTAACAACAAGCAATGCGTGAGCAAACTTTGGCGTTGTGACGGCGAAAGAGATTGTGCCGATAACAGCGACGAAGAAAATTGTGCACCGGCTCTACCTGGTTCGCGATGCCGTTATCACGAATTCTCTTGTACATCCTACGACCAATGTATACCAAAGATTTATCATTGCGACAGAGAACGGGATTGTCTCGATGGTAGTGACGAGCTTGGCTGTTGTGAGTTTCTTTGCTTTTGTTACTTTTTTTTTTTTGTTATCCTTTCATTCCTCTTTTTCTGCCATCTCTCTCGAATATCGAATTTCAGCTCCCGTCTACATCATCAAACCACCGCCGCCGATGGTAGTCCTAGAACCAGGTAGCACCATGGTACTCACGTGTACGGCTATCGGTGTACCCATTCCAGAGATAAATTGGCGACTAAATTGGGGACACGTACACTCTAAATGTACAACTACTTCCGTAAACGGAACCGGAACATTAACGTGTCCCGACATACAACGAGAAGACTCAGGTGCTTACTCCTGCGAAGCTTTGAATTCAGCTGGCTTTGTAATAGCTCAACCGGATGCTATGTTAGTGGTAAAAGAACCAAAAGGCATTTGTCCCAAAGGAATGTTCAACAATGAGGCGCGTTCCCTCGATGAATGCATATCTTGCTTCTGCTTCGGTGTGGCTACCGAATGTCGTAGCGCCAATTTGTTCACTTATCAGATCCCACCTCCGTTCGAAAGTCACAAGATCTTGTCGATTCAAACCGAATCGGAGATACGCATTTTCGGCGACATCAAAGATGAAATATCCGAGGTTAGACCTATTGGACGAGACGGTATTCGATTGTTTGAATCGTTGAGCAGCGAAATGTCTAGCTACAAAATACCCTACTATGCCTTATCCGAGAATTATCACGGTAGTCAATTAAAGTCTTACGGTGGTTATTTGACTTATACGATTAATTACAATGGTAACGGAGCACCTAACGACGCGCCATCGGTCATTCTTAGCGGTAACAAATACATACTCGTCCACAAAGGCAAACATATCCCTCCAGACTACGAGACGAAAGAATCCGTCAGATTTTTCTACGGCGAGTGGTACAAGCGTCAAGGTAGCAGCGAGGTCCTGGCATCCAGAGAAGAAATAATGATGACCCTGGCAAACGTCGACAATATTCTTATCAAGTACGTACTCGTTCTTCCTTTCAGTAGGTATTGTTGTATCGCCTGCCTTTATTTGTCTTGTTGTATCACCATTTTGTTCTCTCGTTCAGAGCAAAGTATGAAAATTCTCCACAATTGGACGTGCGTATAACCAACATTGTTATGGACACCGCCGATGCGCGCAATACCGGATTAGGATCCGCTAATTATGTGGAAGAGTGTCAATGTCCTACCGGTACGTATTCAACAACGAACAAAATCAAAATCGCGTCGTTATTGCTACAACGTAGACATATTTTCTAAGGATACACCGGTCTTTCGTGCGAGAACTGTGCATCGGGATATCTTCGACGCGAGAGCGGACCATGGCTTGGACAATGTTACCGAGACGAGCCACCTTGCGCACCGGGATACTACGGAGATCCTTCGAGAAATATACCTTGCCAACTTTGTCCATGTCCGCTCACCAATCCATCCAATCAGTAAGAACAAATCCTATATATACCTATCCATACGTATATATACGTATATATACGTTTTAACGACAATTGTTTAGATTTACTCGAAACTGTCATCTCGGATCGGACGGTGAGCCTACCTGCGATTGTCCAGCCGGATACGTTGGTCGAAGATGCGAACAATGTGCTATTGGCTATGAAGGAAATCCTCTCATTCCTGGAGATATGTGCGTACCCGTTGAACAATGCGATCCCGACGGTAGCATCAGTCCTAACGCCGATCCGTATACTGGAAAATGTCGTTGCAAGGTATCGCATCTATTTCTTTCCTTATACACCCTTACCTTTCTTTCCTTTCCTCGATATTCATCTTCGATATTTAATGTTAATGCGTTCGATCATTTTCGATCCTCGTCGACACAAACAACGTGAGTACTTTTAACCAATTTGCCATTCAACATTATTTTCCTTTTCTTTTTCTACGTCATATGAAGAGTTACTTTGTAACATTTAACATGTTAACAAATTCTTTATCATGTTTAGCAATACGCAACGGGTCTAACGTGCGATCAATGCAAGGCAAATACATTCAGTTTGGGCTCTAGGAATCAATTCGGATGCATTAGTTGTTTCTGCATGGGTATTACGAATAAATGTGTAGCATCTAACTGGTACAGAAACGAGGTAATTCAAATGACAATTATCAATTGATTAGTTTATTATATTAGTTTGTTAATACTATTATTTTCAGATTCACGTGTCATTTACTAATTCCCTACGAGGATTTAGTCTTATCGAATCTAAGACTACAACCGACGCCCCACCAATAGTAGATGGTATTCGACTTGATACGATCAGTCGCGAGATAGTCTACAACGATTTTCATAATCGTGGTAACAATGACGTATATTATTGGCAATTACCAAATATTTTCCTCGGCGATCAAATAACGTCGTACGGTGGTAATCTTAAATATACCGTTCGGTACGTTCCATCTCCGGGTGGTCAAAGTTCCAAAAACAACGCTGCCGACGTTGAATTAATTAGCGTAAGTGTATTTTCATATTCATTCCATACCTATGGTATTTTGTTGATCTTACAAAGAAGGAAGATACCTATATTAATCGTGCGTGATCTCGATGATAACAGGCAAACGACATTAAATTGCTGTACTATTCGAGAAAATCCCCCGAACCAAATTCCCAACAATCGTTTACCGTTCCGTTGCTCGAACAATACTGGCAACGTGCCGACGGAACAACAGCCGACAGGGAACATCTTTTAATGGCATTAGCGGACGTACGAGCAATCAAAATTAAAGCAACTTATACGACCCACACCGACGAGGCGGCGTAAGTTTATTATTTAGTATTTATTTTTGACAAAACAACCGCCGACTTTGATGTTTTTTTTTCGCGGCGGCTTTTCTCAGACTTTCTTCGGTTTCCCTTGATACGGCGGAAAATCATAATACTGGAAAGGCAAGAGCCGTCGAAGTCGAGGAGTGCAGTTGTCCCACTGGATACAAGGGACTCTCTTGCGAAGATTGTGATGTTGGATATACGAGAGCAATGGAAGGTTTATATCTTGGAATTTGCGAGCCTTGTAATTGCAACGGACACTCGAATCAGTGCGATCCCGAAACCGGAATGTGCGAGGTAAATAGCCAATCAATATTTCCTCTTATATCCTATGTATGATTATTGTACGAATGAATGTGTTGTGAATGGGTCTAATGGTTTGACGTTGTTAAGAATTGCGCCCACCATACTACCGGAGAATTTTGCGAAAAATGCGAACCTGGATACAGAGGAGACGCGACTCGTGGCACTTCGAACGATTGCGAGCGCGAGGATCAGACAGCATCGTGCCAGTGCAATCCAGCTGGATCTCGTAGCACCTTGTGTTACGGTAATCGTTGCGAATGTAAGAGAAACGTCGAAGGTCCGGAATGCAACAGATGTCTTCCGGGTACTTTTGGATTGTCCGCCGAAAATATAGACGGCTGTAACGAATGTTATTGCAGCGGCGTGACCAAACAATGTCACGAAAGTTCCCTCTACGTTCAGCAAATACCAATAGGGGTTTACGATTCCCGTCATGGATTTACCCTTACCGATGCGTAAGCTTATATCACAATCTATCTATATAATAGCATTTTTACTGGATGTTTTTTTATTTTTTTTCTTTCTTTCAAATTAGCTCTAGGCAAGAAGTTATAAACGATGGTTTTGATTTAAACGTTGCCATGAACGAAATTGGATATCGTTATCCCGATAATCGTAGCCGTAGACTATTTTGGTCTTTGCCGTCCACTTTCACCGGAAACCAAGTCAAAAGCTATGGGGGTTATTTAACTTTGACTCAGCATATCAGTGCACAACCCGGGGCGGAGAGTTATAAAGATCAAGACGTTTTACTCATCGGAAATGGTATTACGTTGTTTTGGATTAATCCAACCGATGTTTTACCGGATTTACCTTTGGTTCGTATCATAGAAATAAGTCACAAATAATAAATAATAAAAAGGGAGAGAGAGAGAGAGAGAGAGAGATAAATGAACAATTTTGTTTAGACTTACTCGGTTCCACTGAGAGAATCAGAATGGAAACGGTTGACAACCGCAGGTCCACGTAGCGCGTCTCGTACGGACATGATGACGGTTCTTTCCAATGTCGAAGCTATTCTAGTACGAGCTTCTCATAGCGATAGAATGACGGCAACATACATAAGCGATATTAGTCTCGATACAGCGGTAGAAAATTTCAATGGACACAAAAGAGCGAGCCAAGTCGAAGCGTGTCGTTGTCCGCCTGGTTACCTTGGTACATCTTGCGAAATTTGTGCTCGCGGATATTATAGAGATACCAGTGATAGAGCTGTCAGCGTTCTTGGCTCTTGCAATCTCTGTCCGTGCAATAAAAGGGAAGAAAGTTGCGAAATTAATAGGTCTGGATATGTCAAGTGTAATTGCATGTTAGGATATACGGGAGAAAATTGTCAAGATGTTGGTAAGTAAACAGTTGAAAGTAAACCTTTTCAAACAAATTGATGATTATACTCATGGAAATGATTTTTAGTCGAGTCTCCTCCGACGACTCCTCAGACAATACCAACGATTACACCACCAAGAATCGTCGTTTTCGTGCAAGAGCCAGAATTCCAAATTGTTCATACTGGAAATACCATTAGATATCATTGTAGCGGTAAATCGCTCGACAACGTAAGCTTCATATTGTTCTAATTCGATTCCCCCCCCCCTCCCGATCTTGTTCCTATTCTCTCTTATTATATTTTATATTACACAGGATTCCTTGCGTATTCGTTGGGAAAAAGAGGGTGGTCAGTTACCGTCTGACAGAAGCGTAGACGATTATCACGGAGTTTTAATCATTAGAGATGTCAAAGTGTCCGACAGCGGTGTATACGTTTGTCAAGTTAGCGACGGAACAAATATTGGCATTAAAAAAGTTACTCTTACTGTGGGAGGTATGAATAATTTCCATGTTAATTATTATACATTAACATAGAACATAGACAATTAATTATATAGTCATATATCTTATGGACGCAGCTTTTCCAAAAAGTTTGTTAGAAATACCAGGTATTGTTTTTAATCGCGCTCTCGTAATAGGAATAAGTGTTGAAGAATTGTTGTTGATATTCGATTGCAGGAGCAAATCCGGTAAAACCTCAAGTCGTCATTATACCACCTTACCTCGAAGTTAAAGAAGGAGAACCGGTAGAATTCCATTGCGAGGCTAGTGGTAATCCTCCTCCGCAAGTAGAATGGATTCGACTTCATGGAAGTATAAGCTCTGAGTCTTCGTTCCGTAATGGAGTTTGGAGGCTTCCAGCTGCTTCGAGGAATGACGCGGCCGAATATAAATGCATCGCTAGAAACAATGTCGGAATAATGGAACAAAATACGATACTTTACGTTAGAGGTAGAAATAATGAAAATGTTATTAGTAAATGTTATATTTTCGTATGATTGTGTATGAAATATAATCGAGTTAAACGAGTACACGTATTCACAGAGAATCCGGAAGGGCCTCCGGCTACTGGTTTGGCACCTATTATAACGCCCACCGAATGGATTGGTTCTATCGGAGATGTCATTAGACTAACTTGTACTCCATCACAGAATGCTAATCTAACGTGGATCCGATCCGATTTCTTACCTCTCCCTTACTCGGCGAGTCAGCGCGACGGTATTCTGACGATCAATAATCCAACGGTTAGCGATTCCGGTATATATGTCTGTATCGCTATCAGTTACAAAGGAACGGTAACTAATTCTACCGCTAGAATAACGATCATTCCACGAAGAGATCCGCCGTCGGTTAAAGTCAAGCCCGAGAGACAAACAATCTCCCAAGGAACGTCGACCGAAATACGTTGCGTTACGAGCGGAGAACCGGGTCTACGTGTGAAATGGAACAAATTTTCCGAACCGATGAATCCGCACGTTCAACAAGTCGGTGATACCCTTCGAATTATCAACGCTCAAGTTTCCGATCGAGGCGTTTATATTTGTCGAGTCAGTAGTCCCATAGGCAGCTACGAAGCTAGCGCTATCGTCGAAGTTGAACGTAAGACACTACTACGATGTACTTATACTGTACTTATAATACTGTATTTAAACTGTATTTAACGATTTTTCCATGCTAATGTACTCTTTTGTTTTGTTTTGTTTTTTATCGAATTGGCAGCTCGTGAAACTCCAGTTCTAGAACTATATCCTAAAGATATTCAACCCGTCACGCTCGGTGGCTCTGCCGATTTACAATGTCGCGCCATTGCTGGTCTTCCGCTTCCCGAAATCCGTTGGTCTCGTCAAGACGGTAGATCATTTCCTCCAAATATCGAACAACTTCCTGGTGGATTGTTAAGGTTTTCTAACATTACGATCAACGATGGCGGTTCTTACGTGTGCTCGGCCACGAATGAAGTTGGTTCGACGTCTGCAGTAGCTCATATCGAAGTACAATCCATACCCGTTATTACGATTGAACCAAGGTCCGGTATTTTGCAAGTCAAACTCGGAGATAAAGTGCGATTAACTTGCAGCGCTATGGGCCATCCACAACCAAATGTTGCCTGGAGTAAACACGTCAACGGATTGGCCACGTAGTAAGTTACACTGTTACGCTGTTACGCTTACCTCTTGGCTAAATCTTTGACATTATTTATTTGATATATGATATTTGCAGCGACGCGTACAGCAGAACTGATCTTACCCCGTTGAGCGCGGTATACGAAATTTTATCCGTTTCTACCGACGACGAAGGATCTTACTCTTGTCAAGCGTCCAATTCGGTTGGCATTGTCGAGGATCGTGTTCAAATACGCATCGAGGACAACGAAATTGATTCTATCCCTTGTAGAGGCGATATGCCATGCAATACTGGTCAAGCAAATAACGATAACGTATGCTAATATCGTATTTTATAAACGATCTTATAAACCATCATAGGCAAATCATCGCATCTACTTTATTATTATTGCAGAGATATCCCAATGGCGTATTAATTCCTGAAGATTTTCTAAGAATTCCCAATGGCGGTAAAGTAGAAATGCGTTGTCAAGTAAGGGCACCCGACGGCGATCAAATTTATCTTGACTGGAAGAGAAGCGATCATCGTGCCTTGCCAAAGGGTAGTACCGTTCATAATGGCGTTTTAAATATACCGGTGGTCGACAAGTATTCCGCAGGAGAATACATCTGTCTTGGTTTAAATCCCGCTGGCACGGTCATTTTCAAAGCTAAATCTCATCTTGAAATAATATGTAAGTATTTTCCAAAAGTATAAATTCATGTGATGATGATTTGTTTGTTCAAAGAATTTCGTTGTTTTCTCGCTTGCGCAGCTCCGCCTAGAATCGAGCTAAATCCAACTCGTCAAACCGTTGGTCCTGGAAAAAATCCTTCTATAACTTGTACCGCTACCGGAGACCAACCTCTTAACATTCAATGGGAAGCTATAGGACGACCACTTCCACCTTCCGTGTCTCATGATAACGGGGTCTTGAAATTCCACGGTATAACGTATTCGGATGCAGGCAAGTATGTTTGCAAGGCCACGAATGAAGCAGGCACGGCTGAAGCGGTTGCGGAAGTTATAGTAAACGGTTCGTCTCTCTTATCAATTCCTTTCACATCGATTTATTTCGAGTATCCATTGAAAATTTATCTTTTTTTACTTAACAGAACATTCTTACGACGACACAAGTATTCGTGCCGCGCAAAGAGACATTACGACCTATTCAGGTAATTCTGTACGTTTGCGTTGCGACATCAGAGAAAGTGCTGTAATAGAATGGACCAGAGAAGGACAATTATTGCCTTCGCACAGTCGAATTGGTGAAAATTATTTAGAATTAATGCAAGTCAGACCGGAAGACAGTGGAAGATATATTTGTCAAATTCGTAATTCTCATGGAGTTTCCAGCGATTACATTAATTTAAATGTTCAACGTAAGTAATACGTTACTATTATATATATACGTATTGCTTGCTATTTTAATGACAACAATTTCGTCAAATATTATCGAAATTAATGATCAATAACATTAACAAGTACTATTTTAAATAGGAATTCCTAGTTCGTTCCTACAAACTTGTTTCTTTCTTTCCAGCTATAGCTTTTCTATTGAATTTTTGACTAGCATTCATAATTAATTACGTTGTAGCCTTTATTTTCCCGTTACAATCTTTGAATAATAAGCACGTGTATCGTCTAAAACACAGCTATTTTTTCAACAAACAATGCAAATAACTTCTTAAAATACCATATTACTCTGCGTGTGACATTTTTTTCTCTTTTGTTCATTTCGATATAATTACAATTGCTTACGTAATAGAACGCTATTATTCTTTAGATTTGTTTCTTATCGAAAATTTGTCATGCAGCTTGTCGTATTAAAACTGATATAACAAGAGTAGACAAGACAAAATATTGATTATACTAAATATGATTGCAACTATGGTTTTGAACGAAAGACTCTTCAACAGACTAGATTTTGACAAAGCTCGCGTTATGATTTAGTAGTTAATTTGCTTGCGGATTGCATGCCAGTATACCAAACGCAGTGCAGACCCGGGGAGTATCAGTGCTACAACATTCAACAATGCATTCCTTTGGATTACTTTTGCGACGGCTATGCTCAATGCAACGACGGTACTGACGAAAGCTTCTGCCGCATCCCGCAATATCGCCAATATCTTCGAAGACTACGCGGTTTGTTTTGAGATTTGTGTTTCGTGTGATGTCTTGTAGTTTAGATTAGTTAGATTTTTGATCATCATCCTTTGTGTTGCCTATTCTTATTATTCGATCAAAGTCAACATTTTTCATATTGTCAATAATTTACGTTTTCTATCGTAAGTTAAAAAAAAGTTCTTTCCTTCCTTCCTTCCTTCCTTCCTTTCTTCCTTCCTACAATTAAAGCTAATGCCACTTTCTTTGGCGCATGTTATTTGCATGTACACTGATATATGTTACGAATACAAATACAAAACGGTCCACTGTTCACATTCAGGTGTTTACTCTTCAACAATGTGAAGCTTACTCCAAAAAAAAAAACATACACACACACAAACAAATTATATAGAGTTAATAATGGTAACTGTTCAATTTCAGCAACTGTTACACCTGCGCTTAGCATCGAAGCATCTCAAGATCCTGTAAATATTGGAGATACAGTCGACATACGTTGCGCGTGCTCGGGTACTTCTAATCCACAATATAGATGGTCCAGACCAAATCATTCAGATTTACCAGCGAATGCACAAGCATATGGAAATATTCTTAGATTATTGAATGTAGCTGTTGACAATAGTGGCATTTACAAATGTACAGTAATGACTCCACAAGGCATCTTTGAGGAAGACTTTAATCTCATTGTACACGGTAAATATTTTCTATCTATTTATTTCATTGATTCTAGTGACATCCACAAATCTAATCGTTATCATGTGTATTATTATTTATGCTACCTATTGCATCTTTTGTAAGTAGAAATGTGCAAACAATGAATAGAATAACTTTCAAATATTCTTCAATACTAAATAGTTATTGTTGAATATCTTTATCTAGGTGGAAATAACGATGGGCCAGCAATGGAAACTAAGTCAGCACCTTATGGATCTAGTATCGAAATGGATTGCCATGTTCAATTTGATCCGCCTATTACATACAGATGGAACAAACTTGGTGGATTTTTATCTGAGAATGCACAAACTTATCAGGTATGACGAAACCATACTAGCATAATACTTTTATAAGAAATTCTAAACATCGTTTTTTTTTTTTTTTCATATTATTTTAAACAGAACAAATTAAAACTGGCAAATGTTAAAGCCGAAGATGCAGGAACATACATTTGTATAGCAAACAACTATGTAGAAAAAATAGAAGTACCGACTGTGCTCGTTGTAACGGGAGTAGTACCAAACTTTAGTCAAGCACCAGAAAGTTATATAACTTTGCCTCCATTATCCAATTCGTATCTCAATTTCAATATTGAAATATCTTTCAAACCAGAAAATTATGACGGCATTATTCTATACAATGCTGAATTAAATAACGGTAGCGGTGATTTCATTGTTCTATCCCTAGTAGGAGGATTGCCACAATTCAAGTACATATATCATCATTTTTATATATTACATTTATCCGAATTTTTTACGTAAGCAAAGTAAACATAACAATAATGATTGTATAAACTGTTAGATTTGACTTTGGTTCTGGATCGGCTGTTATAACGGGAGATACGCCAATTAATCTGGGTCAATGGCATACGATCAAAATTCAACGCTTTAGAAGAGAAGTAACGATGTTAGTCGATGGTCAGGGACCTTACAGAGGGGTTTCGAGCGGTCGGAAACAAGGATTAGATCTTAAAGCACCGCTTTATATCGGTGGAGTTCCAAAGTACAATATCGACGTCAAAGATGGCATTAATAACATTGGATTTATTGGTTGTATCAGTAGATTGGTACTCAATGAAAGGCAAGTAGATTTGATCGAAAATCAAACGAGTAACGTTGGAATAACGACTTGCGAAACATGCGTCGAAAATCCATGTAATAATGGTGGAGCTTGCCAGGAGGCAGCTACAAAGAATGGTTACATGTGTCTATGCAGAGCTGGATTTACTGGTAAACACTGTGATTTTGTTGGACAAACTTGTTATCCAGGTAAAAATTAAAATTAACAAAAAAAAAAAAACAACCATTTGTTTGTTGTCTTTTTGCTTTTGAAAACTATCGTTCGAATGAAATTATTTGCAGGTGCCTGCGGTGAAGGAAAGTGTATAGAGAAGGAGACTGGTTTCGATTGTTACTGCCCACGTGGAAAAATTGGTCCACGTTGCGAACGATCGGTGAAAATAAATCAACCAGCTTTTAACGATGACAAAGCTTTCATGGCATACGATACACCGCCAAAATCTCTTCGAAGGCAAGTATATATAGAATGTATATGTGTTAATTGAAAAAGCATGCATGGAATGATATTCATATTTTTCTCACTTACAATGAAATGTTTTCATCGGTGTGCAAGTAGTGGTCGTATTGTATATTTAGTAAGATTTTCAATGCACTCTTTCTAAACATCTAACATTTTGCAAGAGACGGTAAGACAATCATTAATATTATTATAATAACAAAAGGAAATATAGACTTTTCATTGAAGTACTAACTAATCAACATCTCTGACAATACATCAATTATACTAATATACTACTACAATTTACATGCGTATACGTACATGCGTACATGGTGTATACGTATAATAATAGAGCGAAATTTTCTATGCAGATAATGAAAGTATACGCATATGAGAACAATTCTGGTGTTGTATTGTTAACGAAAGCATTAGCTGTCGATTATCCTCAATCAGGCTAATTGAGATGACGTTATTTTCAGGGAAAGAAAGAGTTCGACCACTACACACAGTCGATCACGCAACGTACAAGCTAGACAACTCAATGTGCGATCGAGGGCACATCACCACAATAATCTGCACCACACAAAACATTAGACTTGGCATGATATTTATGCACGTTTAAAGTTATTCAATATAATAGAGTCATTATAATTTGTAGCATTTTTGGTTAGACGCGAAAAAATGAAATGTAATTGCTACTTTCAACTATAAGTGAACTTTGGACAAAAAGCTTTTTTTTTTCTTTTTCTTTTTCTTTTTCTTTTCATTTACAAACATTCTAGCATTGTTCTGTTTTATTTCGCGCACGTGTCGTAACACTTTCTATATGAGAAGAAGATTTTAGCGAGATAATTGCAAGAAGCACGAATAGTAGAGCAAGTAGTTTCTTCAAACAAACTCTCCCGAATGGTGCTGTAATGATAGAAGCTCATTCTCAGTCAATTTGTAATCTAGCGATAAATGTTTTGTACAGCTTTTAATTAATACACTTACGCATCAGTTAGTTATATTAATTATTCGAAGAAGTAATATGTTAAGTCACTGCCAAATATATTGCATTTAACAGTTTGAAACGAAGCTTAAGAATCGGCAATAAGCGATGTCATAGCGATGTCATAGCGATGTCATTATATGATATCTATATACGTGAAAATATATCAATTGTTTGTACTTATATATATAAGATTCTATAACGTGTTAAATATACTCAATGGGTATAGATCTATGCCCAGAATAGGTATAAATAAATATTATAAAGGCAAATAAATCTTGGTATGACTATTAATTTCTATCATTTGCTATTCCACTGGACTTTTTTTTTATTGCTTTTGGGAAAAGTCTGTATCGGCTATATCGCACACGGCTTACTTGGTACTATCACCTTGCAATAACGTGCTGCATTATTTCATTCTTGTTTCATGCATACTCGAAAATCCTGACGCGACATGTTTACAACATCAAACTAATTGCATCGTTTGTTAGCTCGATTATTTTTTACCTATTGTCTACACTTATAGGCTTAAAATATCTATGAACTTCAATCCTATCGACGAAGGAGATGGGATCTTGATGTATTGTTCCCAAAGCGAAGAAGGAGTTGGAGATTTTGCAGCGCTTATAATAAAAAACAAGCACGTTGAATTTTGCTTCGAAATGGGCTCGGGTGTGGCTACGTTAAGATCTAATTACATCGTACAGCCTGGAACATGGACATACGTTACGATAAATAGAGACTTCAAAGAAGCCAAATTATCCGTTAATGGAGAACCATTTATCGAGGCAAGATCTCCTGGTATCGCACGTATCATGCAACTGACTACACCCTTATACATTGGTGGCATTGATCGTAGAAAAATAACATTGAATAAAAATCTTACTGTTGATCGTAGTTTTCGTGGATGCATTAGCGAAGTAAGTAAGAGAGCTAAGTTGGATCCGTTGTTAGTTCATATTAGTCACTAACCGTGTAATTCCCTTATCTAACATACAGCTTGAAGTAGCTTCCGTTAGCCTGGAGATTGTAAAATCGACGCTGGATATGGCAAATATCGAAGATTGCTCTACGCTGCATCCGAATCAAACGATTCCACGTACTAAGCTCGTTACCCCTCCACCCACAACAAATCCGCCGACAACTTTGTACGATTCGTGCACATCGAATCCTTGCATACACGGGTTTTGTCAGAGTTTAGGTTCAAGCGAATATTCCTGTACGTGCGAGTATGGATATGCAGGAAGAAATTGCGAAAATGTATTGAAACAGTGCGAGGTATATACGCCTTGTAGAAACGGTGGTACTTGCACCGATCTACCTGGATCTTACAAATGCGACTGTAGGCTTGGCTTTAATGGCCAAACTTGTGAAAAATGTAAGTCTCTTCGAATGATATATTTAACGAGGAAGGATTTATTATTATAATATTTATTCTTATTATATTATTGATACAGTGGCAGAGATCACTTATGACATCGCGTTTAAAGGAGATGGCTGGTTAGAATTGGACAGATCGGTAATGACGCACGAAGAAGAACGCGAAGTCTTGGGTTTCGAGATATCGACGAATAAAACTAATGGTTTAATCATGTGGCATGGGCAAACGCCAAATGATTTAAATCCCGATGACTATATATCTTTGGCAGTTGTCGATGGGTAAGTTTGTAATGGTTGCAATGGCATATGATTTGATCTACCGTGCCACGAGAGGGTACTTTGAGTAATACACTGCATTTTCGTTTCAGCTATGTAGAATATCAATATAATTTAGGATCAGGGCCAGCAGTTATTCGCGTAACGGCTCAAAGAGTCGACGACGGGGAAAGACATAGAATCATTTTAAAAAGACAAGGTAGCGATGGTAGCATCGAATTAAACGGCGAGCACACGGAAAGCGGACTGAGCGAGGGATTACAACAAATTTTGAATACCAGAGGCAGCGTATATTTAGGAGGTGTACCTGATTATGCAATGACGTATGGACGTTACCACGAAGGATTTTCCGGTTGTATTTACACTCTGGAAGTACAAGATTCGGGAGCCATCGATATAGGAGAAAAAGCTATTAGAGGAAAAAACGTTTCTCCGTGCACCAGGTAAGAACGAAAGAGTACTATCTCCTCTATTCTAAGATTAAGTAACATTAAGTAACATTCCAAATGATATATGTTATACAAGCCTTTTCAAATAACGTTACACGCTGCATAGAGTGAGATGGATTCCATCTTCGTTGGTATTTACGGACGCAGATGCAGATATTTTTGACGCATTTGTACCCCCACCTCCTGTAAATATTATTCATCCTAAACCTGCTGCAAATGTAGCCACACGTAATATTACAAATTATTTACTATTGATCGTGTTACAACACCTGATTGCGATGAAACTAGAAAGTAGAAATGTCATCGTTATTCATACACTTTTTTACGTAGGTGCTATTAATATAGCGAAAAATTCGTTAATTTAAGTAGGCAAATACATTTGAATTTATACAATTTATACGGTATACTTATATTCCAAGTTTGTACTAATGCATAAATGCTTGTAATATTTGTATTTCCGTCATTTTCAAAGAAATGTGTCGATAATTAATAAATTTATTAATTATTTAATGCTTTATCAACGCAATCTGGATAAATCTGACCAAAGCATGGTACGTTTGATCATTAGATAGGCACAATTAGATCGCTTTATTTTTCCCTTTTATTATATTATCCAAAATATAATTAATATATTCTTATTAAAAAATGATTATTTCACAGTGATCCAGTTGACAACATTTCTATGCATGGTGATCTGCTAAGAAGACATTAAGAGATCTCTTCTCATATGATACGATCCTATCTCATTTTCCACCAAAATTTATCAAATGTTTTAACGTTCTTTATACTACACTCCGTTTGGCAAAAAAAAAACTATAAACTCGTTTACCATGTAAAACTAGATATTATATGGAAATTTGATATAACAGCGAAACTTGTGACATTATTGCAATTTAAACATTTTTCTACTTAAAAAAAGATAAACAACATTATTAATTGATGTCAAGAAATGTAGGATATTCGATTTAAAAAAATGTTAATATCAAACCTGTAATGGTTTGCACTAATGAAAGTATCTCATTAAGATTACACTCATTCATTGACAATGATAAGAATCGTAACTGTAGTAAACAAAATAATTATGATTTTTGCTGAAATATTTTGTTTATAATTATGACCGATAACGACGTTATCGCAAACTATAATAATTACTACAATCTTTCCTTTATTCGGTTATGTCGTCATGTTTTTGTTTAAAAAATAATACGTGTTCCTAATATAAATTTTATCCTTTTTTATTAGATGCTTTTTAATGTTAAGTAACGCCACACCCAATGATTATGATGATTTCAAATAATATATAAATAATAATAATAATAATAATAATAATATTTTTAATTTAACATGTAAGATATATTTCTACAGCTGCCATAGCGATTGAACAAAACAAATATTAAATAACAATAATATATTATATAATTTTTCACTGCCATAGCTATCATTTCTTAAAACTATAGTAGCAACAATGAATAATTGTGGATTTGCCTCGTTAAGAAAATTGTAATGATGATGTGTATGAACAAAGTCACAATTTGTACAATTTATTTTCATCGTCATTTAGCATTGAAGAAGATATTTAAAGAATGAGTATATCAAGTTTTCTTACAAAACAATTTATTACATACTGATCAAATCTATATATTTTTTTAGGCAAAACGTTATAAAATAAAATTCTTGCAACGTGTAGTGAGAAGAATTCGTTTTTACACACTTTTGTAAATCTTACACTTACAGATAACGATGATAGTAATAATATAACGATGATATTGATATATAATCTAACTTAATGTGCTAGTAATATTATCAAAGTCAAGTCAAATATATCTCAATTTGATCAAATTATTTACAATTAAGTATTTCTTTTAATTGTGACTACTTTCATACTTTGGCAAATATTCATTTGTAGATATTATTACACGTTGTACAATAAAGTTAACGAATTTTGTTAATAAAATAAATAAGACGAGAAGAGTTAATTAATTGAAATAAACAATTGACTATTTTGTATCAAGAAATTTGAACAGTCGAGTTTTCGTAGATCAAACGAAAGTAAATTACTTGTAAAACCTTGATTATAATAGTTCAAATGGGTGCTAGTAAAATGTGTTGCAAATCTTGTATTAATATTGAATATACTGCAGCGTGTGCATACAAACAAATAAAACTTAATTATATAATCTTGTAATTAATAACATATTCTTACAATCTACGGATATATTCTATAATTCTAAATAAATAATCAAACGTCGTGTTGGGAAAGAGATAGGCCGCGAAATATCTCATCTTTCTCTCTCTCTCTCTCTCTGCCTAATTTCGCATTGTTAATTGACACATTATCTATTTTATTATTCCATAATTCAGCATATCTACGTTATTTTCTTTACCTATATATTTAAATATACCTATATATTTAAATATGTACAATAAATAAAAGAGAATTTTTTACAATAGGATAGAATATAAATTTCATACAAAAGGAAACTATGATATTGCTGTTGGTTATCTTTAAACGTTAATTATTGTAACTCTTTGATTAAATAACCGTACTGTAAGAACTTATGTAAACAAAATTTAACAAGTAATTACAATTTCACACATACATTTTCTGCCATGATTCAACACTGAGAAAATGCTTATTAATGTCAATGCAAGTGCTTATATGACTTGCATTATATATTACATATGTAAAGTTATCAACTGAAAGTACGTAAAGTGATTAAGATGTAGCCTGCATTGTTAAAAAATAATATTAAGAAATGGGGAAAAAAAAAAACAAAATATATATATATATATACATATACATATACATGTATGAGACAATAAATATAATTTTGTTAAAAAAAAAAAAAAAAAACAGTTTACTTTAATCTCGTCTTATTTCATATTTGAAATTGAAAATTGGAATTTAATCTTGCAGGAGTCGTCATAAAAACGCGAAGCAACAAATTCCGGCAAACAGCAAACTTCCTACTCATTTGGCATTTGTTTTGCTGTTGTATTATTTATTAATAATATAATATTATTAAAAATTAAAATACTGCACAGTATAAAATTATCATAATAGTTAGAAAAATAAAAAGAAACCTTCCTAAGGATTTTGTGCTTGAATATGATAAAAATAAGATAAAAATGTAATTTATTGAAAGACATTTGGACCGTTTTTGATATATAATTAAACGAATAACGGTATTGGAATATGCTATTGGGCTAGACGTCTATAATTTGCTATAAATTAATTGTATTACCAGATATAAACGGCAATCCAGTTGGTACTCTTTTTTGGTATTCAATGTATTCATCGCCAAAAAAGTTACATAGCATCAATTCTTCTAGAAAAATACGATCGTTGAAAAATCTCCAGGAAGAAATAAGGTATGCCAAAGTGCTAAGTGGATTTTGTAGTATTAACTGTGCAACAAAATTCAAAATAGATTATTGACAAATATTTCTTGGAATATGTGTATAGGATACACATATAGGATATAGGATTTTATTATACCTGAGTTCCAAGAGCCCAATAAAACCAACCGACGTAACTTGGATGTCTAAATATTGCATAAACACCATGCGTTATGAGTACATGATCCTTCTTCTTTTCACTTTGTACAAGATGATTAAAATTATTTTGAGCCGTAAATATAGCAAGTTTTCTTAATAATTCTCCCAAAATGGACAATATTATGCCGAAATAAGAAACATAAGAGGCAACTTTCATTTCTGGGAAGAAATGCCTTTCTATAACATATTCTATCCAACTAAAAGAGGCAGCTATGCCATAAGCAATGCTGTGATTGAGAAGGAACGTATCTACAGATAAGGACGCCGGATTTACCAATGATATAGACAAAAATTCGCTATAATGGAATATAGCTAGTAATATCATATAAGCACCAAACATTTGCCATGAAGGCAAAGCTGTAGAAAATATCGTTATTCCAATACCCACGACATATCCTAGAAACGTGGATCTTAATACGACCTAAAAGAAGACAAACGGATCAATTATATAACTTTTCAAACATTTCTATATTCTAAATATATCACATAACATTGAAAATACTTCATACCTGGTATTCGAATCCACGAAAGAGAAGGGGTAGAAAGAGATTGCAAAAACCGTACTGAAGAATATGTGAAAGCCATATATTTTCAAAATATATACTTTTATCCGGTTCTAACCTCGAAACTAATTCTGGTATAAGTGCAATAATAATAGCCGCACTAAAGAACAATAAGCTTAGTTTTCCTTCGCGACAGAACATTTTGTCGTCAATAGAAATAATTATAATATGAAAATTTATTGAATGAACGTAACGTCAATCGTTATAGAAAAATGAACTTCCTATTTCATTTTCCAACGAAAACTAATGTACTTGACAACACACTTTTTCACTAAATATGTTTTAGTTTATCAAATATCTAAATACAATCAGTCAAAATAATAAAAATAAATGAATTTTAGAGTAGCGATATGAGGAAGGATAATATTTAAACGCCGGTCGGTATTCGAATGTCTCTGTTATTCAATCGCGGACAAGGTTACTTGTCTCTTTCCCAACGACGATAATTTCATTTATTCCTTTGTATACATACGTAACCGATTTTCCATTCGAATTGTTAACAATTTGTTTTTCAAACAGTTTCCAAATCACATAAATAATCTAAACAAAACTTTGTAAACAATCTCTCACACCTACGAGTTCGTTGAAATGAACACAGATCAATTTTCTAATATTGGCAATCTTGATTTTCTTTGCTTCACGATGTCACCAATGTATATTATAACTTTAATGTCATTGGAAAATGGTCATTGCTAAATCGACAATTATTACAAATATTTGATATTTATTGTTGTTTATCTTTATCGCATATTGGGACAAATGTAAGTTGCAAATTTGAAAAATACATGCATACTTGAAATGAGTATTATTGGGATTTTCATTTGACGTAAATTCAATAAAATTATGCGAAAATATGTATACTTGTACTTATAAGAAGATTGAAAAATGTAAATAATTTCTCTTTGAAAATACGTTCGTTGAATAATATTTTAATATTGGTTTTTAGTATTTATTTTCATTTCCCGTTCCCGCTTGGTTACGTAACGCGGATCATCGATAGGAGGCAGCGCGGGCTTTTCAAACGCGTGCCTCTGCTTTCACGTGACTCGAGAAAATACGCGTGAATGGCAAACCTTTGTTCGGCTTACGTAAAAAGGGGATATCTCCTTCCACCCCATATCTCCTTCCACCCTATATTCCTTCCTTCCTTCCTTCCTTCCTTCCTTCCTTCCTTCGTAGAGAAGCTTCCTTGTAACAAATCATTCCACCAGTTTGTGTCCGCTTTATCGTCGTTGGAACGATAAATTAATTAGCCATTATAGCCTTTTACGTAAGCCTTCAAGTTGATACGTATGCACGTTCTGCGATACGATTAACAAACGAATCCCGTTTACCAATTTTACGAGATACAACAAATTTTAATAGAAACGTCAATGAACGTACAATTTTAATGAAGACCCCAATCGTTTAAAGTTTTTCTCTTTGACAATGTACGCGCCATTTATATGGAAAAAAGAAAGAGAAAAATAAAAGTGGGTATGGCGCGTTTTGCAATTAATTGGAAAGCAATCCTTTCAATGGATTTCATCGAAATGTTCTTATATTATACAGTTTTACGTGCACAACGATCAATTAGAAATATAAATAAAAAAATGATTAAATCAATGATACTTTCTCCTCTTTAGAAAGATTGTAACAAATTGTAAGTTTTTGTAACGTTTGAAAAGTATATTCGTAAGATGAATCACAACCCATCAAACTACCCATCATGTCTCTAAGCACTTAACTTGTATTACTTGTTTATCGATATATCCTATAGAGAATGTGTTTTTCCAACATAAGGAAGAAGCTAATAAGCAAGAAAGCGATAAAATAGGAACACACCTAGCTATTTTTAAATGATTTAACTCGAATACGTAAAAAAAGAATACGTAAGAAAAGAAAGTTTGGATAATAGAAGACCCAATGGCAAAAGGATAATCGAGGACTAGAGATGGAGGGAGAATTCAACTCGGGGCGGGATGCGCGCCTGACGAACCTCCAGAACAGTTTGCGCGCGTACACTGACGCGTTACCATCCATATTTATATTTATTTCTCTTTCTCTCTTTCTCTCTTCTTATTTCTATCCATTAATCTTTGTCATCATCAATCTTTCTCTTTCTCTCCCTGTCCCTCACACTCTCTTTCTCTCTTCGTTCATTCACGTCTCTTTTGATGATCGTTGAAAAATGTTGATCGGTACCGTCGTATCATCATCTTATCGTCAACGCACCCGTCGCTCCTTGCCGCCGGGTCATCGTAAGACTTGAACATTTTTCTAAACAATTTGGACGAAGGATCGTTCGGTGAGTTTCTCCTACTGTTCCTTAATACAAATTACATATAAGTATATTAACCCTTTATTAACTGTTGCATATTATTTACTCTTCTTATTGAATTTCGCAAAGCGTCAAATGCCGAATTTATCAAATAAACTAGGGAAAAGTATCGAAAGTTAGTACTTAGAGTCAAAGCCGATTTCCAAAAATCATCCTTTTTCCAATTGGAAATGGAGGAATACTCTCGATAATGTATAATGCAAGCCTTCCCTGATGATCGGAATTAAAATCGTTGTTCCGCATTTAATCGCTCGACCACGAAAGACGGCTTTTGCAATCTATCATTCGACAAAATGTGGTTCAAGGTATTTTTCGCTCTGTAGAATAACTAATATTTCTGTACAATAGTTCTGTGTGTGTTTATACCACTCAGCCCTCTTTATCGTTCTTTTTTTTTCTTTTCTTTTTTCTTTGAAAATACGTGCACCTGCGCTATGTTTTCTACTAATTAAGTACTGCGTCAAGGGAATCTTGCTATTCTTCAAAAAGAATTAAACGAGCCCCGTGTTTGTTTGCCGAAAAATAACATATACCATATTATATATATATATATATATATTACCGTGAGGAAAACATTCATTTGAAAAAGAAAAATGAGATACATTTTTTATCGATCGTAAGTACTTGGTTTTTTGGTCAATTTTCAATAAAGTGTATTTAAAAGTGTTGCGGGAAAATGAAGATAACTACTCGGAACGCTTTTTTTTTTTGATCCGCGAGTAAACGAAAGACCTTGCTCGTACCTTTCGATTTTTTCAACAATCAAAATAGAATTAAAATAAACAATAGCGTGCTTTCTCTATTCCGCTAAATTATATTTTTTATTTTTGTCATCATCATTATTATAGTAATATTAGAATACGCGTGTAGACATTTTTGTATGAATTTGTTAATTGTTTTACGACAATCTCATCTTCACGAAATATTAACCGTATTACATGGGTATTATTTGAGTACGTATTGCATTACTAATAAGTTTGTTAATTCATAACCGTATTAATTGGAGAAACATATTACGGTAATATTGGAAAGCGTTACTCTATGCGACGTCATGACCTTAATATTTGCGATACTGGTAGATGCTGATTTGCAATACCTCGATTATCATTACAAACATTTTATCTAATATCAATATTATAATTCCGCTGCATCGTAGAGACTATGGAAACTTCATTTTCCAGGTATTAACCCATTTCCAAAAGTAACGGCGTTTCGATACGTGAGAAAGTTTACCGACGAATACCTTCTAGGTACGTCAATAAATAATAATTGAGGAAGGTATAAAGAACAGCTTATATATATAACGAACAAGAACTTTCCATCGAGTGGTTAAACTTTATAGTTTAATTTTCTATTAAATTAATTTGAGAAAAATATTACGATACATGCGACGTGTTTGAAAATTCAACTCGAGCGAAAGTTTTTCATCTTGATGAATTTCCTTGATAGATAGATTTACGATTAACGCTTTCAATGGTGCCTAATTTATGTTGCTTATATTACGTGAATCGCTGCAAATTTGTTGGACAAGCTAATTTACAGTACTTTAGCTTAGCTTATCCCTACTATTACTCCATCTAATTTTTAAACTCTTTTCTTCTTCTCTTGACGTATTAGTAGCTTTATATTCCATCATTCTATACGCGTATTATCCCTTTCTGATCCTCGTCTTTTCTTTGTCTCGTTTGAATTTGTCCATTTTCCCTTTGGCGTTCAATGCTCTCAGCGCAGTTAAATTTGTTTTTTGTATTTTGCCAAGGTTTTGAGCCGGTGGTTGATTGCAATTCCTTTAGCTTTTTCCCTTTATCTATCTCTCTTTTCGCCATCTCTCTTTTTTGCCTTTTACGTTTACTTTTTCCTATTTACATTTTCTATAGATTATTTCTACTATTTATTTTCATTTGCAAAGATATGTTTCTATCGATCGACCATATGCATATCAATTGACCAAACGACGAGAACACATTTAGTGTAATGATTGCATTGCCTTTGATGCAATTCAAATCAATATTAAACGTTCAGTATTAAACATTAAACGTTCGGTGTCAATTAGTTAGACGCAAACTCAAGATTCTTTGAAGAAAAAGTCGTTGACGTTTTAGTATTCAGCTTCTTTCACTTGAAATGTGATCAAATTTAATACTCGTTTGACTTGTAAGACGTCGTATAACGTCGTGCCTTTCATGGCACCGCAAATATTCTAAATATTCTATGCGCGAGGCACGAATAAACGACTCCTCTTCCTCCTTCGAAGAATTCTCTTCCTACATGGCATATTCTACGAGCATAAAGTAGACGTATTAGCGAATCCTGAGCGTGTTATAGAGAAAGCAATCTCGTAGGTGGAAGCGGGATGCATTGTTAACTCGCGTCAAACTCCCGATTCCCTCATTCCTTTTGACGGTACAAGCATGCACATATGCAAGAAGCATCATCTCATCCTTGTCAACGAACAAATACTTCTCAAATACTCCTCAAATACTCCTCAAATAATCCTAGATTTAGCAACCAACTGACAGCTAGTCGAATCACGTCGACAACAAGCCATTAATTACTATTTCTTATTGTATTTCTTCGAAAAATCCTATCGATCATTTAATTCGCATCTTACGCTAATTAGAAACGCCGTGAACATATTCAATACCGCTGTTGCAAATTTCAATGAGCACGCACACACGCACGCACGCACGCACGCACGCTCACCAATTAATACCAAATTAATCTCAAGCTTCTCACGAACCGTAGTATCCATCAAGCAAAAAGATGTCCTTTTTTTCGAAATTTAACGTCAATTTAGCTTTAACGTTGATTCGTGTCGTATCAAATATACTTAATGCAAGCCATGTAGAACTTTTTCCAAATGTTACCTTTATTTGAATAACCATTACTCATTTCACTCTTCTCGGATTATACGCGTACATTAACGGAATTTAAAATAGCTTTCCTTTACGACGTATCGCATTAGAGAGAAATGAATAATATTTTCCGTCAATATACCCCGGTTACATTAGTCTTGAAACTCATAGAGTCATTCTATGTTTGATGAAATTTTCGAGAGACAGCAAGGTACGTTACGTTATTTACCAGATTCAAATTCAATGTGTAATCCAAATGAGGAAGTTGCTACGACGTTATACAAAATTATCAAGATCCTAGAGTTTAGCTTGGAATAAAAAGAAAAGCGATATTATATCTTTTGTCGGGGGTTATAACATACATAACAACAGGCATATGCAGGCCATGGTTTAGCCGATTTCAATGTAATGCTAAGTAGAACGGCGTATATAAGGTCGTATTTAGTAGTGCATTTTAAAGTATCTTTTATCACAGCCACTTGTACTTTTAACTTTAATATTACCATTTATTGTATGGTAATTTAATATTACCAGCCGTCGTTATTTATTTTTCGTATAGGGTATTAAGAACGGTTCGATTAACAGCAAGATACCTTTGTATCAATTTCATTCATTTTCCAATCTTCTATTATAGAGTAAGCTGAAACGATCGTTTTACAGAAAAGACCGATTAATGCGTGAAGACCTTACAAGTGGTTAGTTACTTCAATGATAATGCATAACAAATATGAATGATAAAGTGTGTTCGTACAAAGGATCATTACGTAACCAAAATATATATTACTAATGAAAGCCAATAAAGGTACTAATTAAATATAATAGGTAAGGGAGGGAGGCACACTTAATTATATAAAGTCGAGATGATATCGACTACCACCCCTTTCCCTCTTCCTCGCTGATCTTGTAAATTGTTATCCATTATTTTGTTATTTCAATGAATTAGCTAGGATGAAAATAGTTGTATCCGAAAACGGTTAGCCATCAGCACTTTTCTGTTTTTCCATCCACTCGTGGCGGAGGGTCCTAAGGAGTAGCCACTCCAGCATTTCCGATGGTCTATGCGACGCGACGTTCTATGTTGGAAATTCTGACCTACTAAAAAGGACGCCCTTGCCCCTTGGTTACCTTCGTGCCTGCCTCCTCTCTTCTTCCGATCGATCGTCCCATTTCCTCGCAAAAAAGCTGGCCGCGAACGTACCTTAAATAGAAACGCGATTCTTCTTTCTTGAGTAGATGCGAAGATTTCCTTAAATCCTTCTAAAGCTGTTGCACTTTCTAGTTTGCATAATGTTTATAAACCAACTCGACTTGTGTCTCGAGTGAATCGACCTAACCCCCGATGCACGTGACGCGGCGACATTCAACTTTTGCCGAATAATGTTCATTCAAATTCGTGAAAGAATGGAAGTGTGTACACGTGTGAAATGCACACGTGACACGCAATCATTAATCACATTTTCTACCTTACACCTCCTGACACCACCCCTAGGAATTAGTCCCCTATATAGTAGGCTGGAATGCGTAGGTATAGCTTAGCTTTGATACGCATACCGATGCAACCAGGATAGAAAGCCAATAAAATACGACGTTATCAACGACACAAGAAATAAGTCACGATTGATATTGACTTTGATCGAAAAACGAAAATGAAAATGAAAACGAAAACGAAAACGAAGCTACCTAGTATTTCTATCTTTTGCGACATCTTTTTATCCTTTCATCTTCTTACTATAGGTACTCGTACGATATTACATATTTATATAATACTAAGAAAAAAATGAAAAGGAAAAATTCAGCAAAGCATCTTTCTCTTGGGTATCTACAAAATAAGAAGAAAGTAAGGAGAAAGGAGAACAATGCGATATTAAATAGACGAGTTTGAGATCTTTGCCAGTTGTCCAGCGGGAAGTTAGAAAAAATATTCTTTTTTTATTTTACTTTAACTCCATTTGATATTCTTTTTGTGAAGATTAATGAAGCATCTAAAAGCTTATCGTTCGCATTATCTTAACGACCATAACAACCGATCTAGACAGCTATGGCGGAAACAGTAATTGGCTGCTACATAATCGTCAATAACATTTCTATATCAATTACGTAACTTACAAAGAGGCTTTCGAAGCATTCAAGGTTGGTTCGCACTCGCGTCTGATCGATAAGCTATTTAGCTTTATCACGTTCAATACAATATATTATATTTTCTCTATTCGCATAAGCTTTTCCGATATCTGCAATGCTAATCGTATCATTGTTACCATTTTTATTGTAAAATAAAAATATATCTCAAAAATAGATTGAATGCGTAACGTTGAAATACGATCGTTCGAAAAGAGACTTAACACTAGCACTAACTCGTCCTACAAGTTGCTAGTTGTAATCGTTCGTTTGTCGGCTACGAAACTTCTCTAATAACTCGAAAACAGTTCTCCTGGCTGGCAGTAGGTCGAAATTCAAGTAGGTCGACATCGAATCACGTAGATACTTTCGTTCTACAAATAATTACAAAAATAATAATAATACTTACTTACTTATACAATTAAATTTATACGGATGGCTATAAAAATAGAGAAAAATCTTGTAGTACTTTGGGGAAAACAAAATCTAGGAAATATCACGCTTAGGCAATATACTGGTAACGAGGGTGCTCGAGGGACGATCGCTCGCTCGGACATGATTACTACTCGGCTATTTTTTTACTCGAACGTTTTATCTGACAATGATATACAGGTAGTGTCAAAATGTTCAAATCGTACATAGTTACACTTATTACATTCTTTTTTCCAAAACTATTCATATAATATATATGCCTATTAAAGTAACTAATTTAACTGAAAATCATTACTGACAAGGAACGTTAAAACAATTCAAAATATTAGTAAACTATAGTAATATATTGGATATACTTTAAATAATTGTTAATTCATCCAAATATATATCTATAATATAATAAGGGTTAAATTATGCTGTAATATTATAAGTAGGAGGCATTAGAGTATTAAAATAATTGTTAATTAATCAATGGGAATGTGTATTGTTGTTTAAAATCACCTAGTATATGATCGGAGTACCGTCTTCTTCGAAATTCACCTTCAGACTGACGAATTGTATTCTATCAAAATTTCTTAGATTCAATGTTGTTTATATGACTTTCCGAACACTACACATGTGTATAACGGGTATACTATTAGTAACAAATACAAATTAAGATAAAAACGTTCTAATGTTAGTATTTTTTGCATTCTATTGTAATTATTTTTGACACTCATGTTCGAAGTAGCGTCCTCTTAAAAAACCATCGTTAGACTGGTTTTTTTGTTTTCTATGAAAGTTCGTTTATTTAATGTTGTTTGTATGATAACATTTCCTTTCATGAAAAGTCATATAAACAACATTAAATAAAAGAACTTTCATAGAGGACAACGTGTCAGTCTCACGGGAGATTCCGAAGAGAGTACGGTAAATAGATCATATATTCCGTACTTTTAAACAACAATAGGCACTTTCATCGATTATTTAACAATTATTTGAATATTCTAATACATTCTTCTTATATTACAGCATAATTTAACCTTCGAAGTCACCACTGCGCAGGAGCGATAAAATAATTACAATAGAATGAACAAAATACTAAAATTACAATGTTACAATGTTAAATACTCCTTATTAAAATGATTATTACCGTAGCACACATGCGCCACGTTCGGAAAGACTATAAACAGCATTGAATGAAAGAACTTTCCTAGAGGATAACGGAGCCAGTCTAACGGGGGATTTCGAAGAGGAAGGTACATCGAAGGTACATCGAAGGTACATCGAAGGTACATCGAAGGCACATCGAAAGGTAAATCCTTGTTTTTGGATTACAATATAGATTTTTTGGATGAATTAACTTTGAAGATAACATAATCGTTTTGTATGCGCATATATATGTGCATTCAATAATTTAGTTGCCGATAAATCGATGACATAATCGTGCATAATGTAACGAGTGGCGCTTTGGTTTTGACTATGTATAAGAGAAATTTAACAAGACGAAGCAGTATTCTCCGAGCTGTGCCTTCATCATCTTTGACTGAAATCTCCCAAATCATCCACCCTATCGTTTAGCTCTCTTTCAATTTAGAAACTTGCCTCGCGCTATTTGCCATATATAATATATACAAAAGTATATGATTCACCGCAGAAATGCGAAAATGATTGGAAAATCGATAAATTACGAGTTTGTTCAATACGTGAGACGAGTATCGATAACGCCCGAGTAAAAGTTCGGGAAATTGGAGAGAACGGATATTACGTCTTATGAACCTCCGAAAAGGACTGGCAACACACCTAATTAATTTTAATCAATGCTTTGGAAGACGTACCGGAAGATGTACCCCCGGAAGATCTTTTGAAATTTGAACGATAACAATTCGGCCAGAATGTAACGCGTTACACGCTCGAACAAATATGTAGAAAATCGGTGTGTCGCAATTGAAATCGATTTTCCCCACACAAAAAAATAGTAATATATTTTAAAATACGACAACGAAAAGTCATTTATATTAAATGCAAGTACTCGCGAAGCGTGAAAAACATAAATGCATCGTACAATTGTTGTAAAGGAAAAATACGTTTTGATTATTTGTTGTTGTTGTTGTATCGAACTCGTAGGGTAAATTGTACATTTTGTATTCTAATGTCGATATCGATTCATTAATCGGCTTTATATCTCCTTTTGTTTCAGATCACGAAATTATTCGATATGAGAAAATACGAATATTCAAATCGTTGGCTTTCTCGTGAAACGAAATATTTTTCAAGGAGAGAAGAAAAATGAAAAAAAAAAAAATGTAGCAAACGTGCGGATAAATATAAAACGATAAAAGATACATTATTCACATTCCGATGAAAGAAAGTGAGAAAGAAATGTGAGATTCGCAAATTAGCGAATGAAATTTGGACGATTTGTCGGATCCAATCGTTGACTACAGGATAAGTAGAGAGAAAGGGAGAAAATGATAGTCGTAAGTTGGAAGATGCAGCTGCCTAGAGGAAGAGATCAAACGGACATGGACAAATAAATAAAAAATGGATGGCCTCGATACAAGAGGTAACAGCGAGGATCTCTGCGATAAACAGTATTTACATTTTACTGCACCGCACGGAGGTAAGAGTTGATTCTCTTTCTTTCTCCCTCTTGTAATAGATGATCTTGTAATAGATGTAGGAAAGAATGGTTCTATTTTGTAGAACTGTGGTGCAATCCTGTCTGGGATTTGTTGCTTTGTTGGCCACCTACGAAAGCTCTCGAAACGGCCAGAGAAAGATGCCCATTCATAGGCGGCTTCGATACGACAAGTAAGTAAGACTTTCGCTTATATGGTTTCCATATAATAAATGAAAAAGATGAAAATCGTTGAAAATAGTTCATCCACGTGGGATTCGTAGTTCGGTAATAGGTAAAGCTCTGACATACGCTGATTATAGGAATAACGCGAGTTTGATCGTAACGCTTGTTTCATAGTGTCACTGTGTCCGTGTTTGCCTCCGACTTTGATCCCTGAAGGATCCCTTGCGTCAACTGAGAACAACCACCCTGTGCTCGAATTTCTCCAGAGAGATTAAAGGATAAAGCTCACGAGATATTTCGAACAAAGAATAACAGAACGATTCAATGGAAAAGGGATATAGGGGAAAAAGAAATGAAATTGTTTCCTTCGTCTTCGTATCCAACCAACAAAATTGATACGTAAATAATAAAAGTTATTGCTTTTTCGATCGCGACGCGTTGATTTCTGCTCGGCCAGGCGAAACGAAAGGTGATTTTTTCTTTTTCTCTATCTTTTCCCTTTGTGCCAATAATCAGGAATCGAATAGAGTTAGAGGGATACGTAGTCCATACGCTCGTCCATCCATTCGTCCATCCATTCGTCCATCCATTCGTCCATCCATTCGTCCATCCATTTGCATTCGTCCAGCATATTCGAGCTAGGAATGCAAATTTCCTGAGAACGCGTGCATTTGCGCCGAGGTCAACGTATGAATCGAACTCGATACCGAGAAAAATATATATTTTGTGTTACATCCTGTCAAAGCTATTCCGTTAAAGCAGAATCATCGATTTATCGAGATTTGCGCGTTGATTTGTGCACCTGCGAACGCACCTACGAATGCAACGACCAAGATCCGACCAATTTCGCTTCGCTTCTTTTATCTTTCTCTTTAAGGAAGCAATTTGCGACGATTTCGCGGGAAAGATGATCTTCCTGTCTTTACGTGACTTACAAGATACTACGTATATATATCTACGTTCAATGCATAACTTTTGTCATTTTCAGAATTCGTGGAGAAGAAATGTGGCTACAACGGACGATGGGAAGGACAAAATGGAAGTCTGAGCGGCGGGGAGTCGGATCACGGATGGGCAAATTACACGACCTGCATGACACCGGAAATGCTTCGCATTCACGAAAAGGTTTATACAAATACGCAAGAGGGAGAGGTAAGAAATATGTAACATTATCATTTTCATAGAATTTCAGCTAACATACGCTTCGACGGATAAAAATAAACTTGTTAAATGAGATTGGGTTTGTCAGGAAGAAGGACTGTCGACGGGATCGTATAATCGATTATTTTCATTTGACGCGTTCATCGTTGATTCGAATAAGAGTAAATCGATCGCGTCCATTTCCTTGCTGACGTAATTTTTCTACACTCGAGATCTCTAGGTTTTGTTATTGTTAGACGTGTGTAACTGACAATAAGAATTCTGCTGTGTGTGACTGTATACTTTAAAGTAAAGAAAAAAACTTATGGACAAAATAAGAAGAGAACAAGGCGCCCAACTTTCTAGCTTCTTATAAGATCCTTCGAGAAAAGAAGAAGTTTTTCGAAGGAGTAAGGTATATTATTTGAAAGAAATAACAGCTGGCATCTAAGTTTGAAAAGAACAAGGTCTATATGTACGCGCATCTTCTGAAATCAATTTCGAAACGATTACGTCGGATAAAAAGAGGACCTACAAACTTAGATGCGAATACTTTAGCGAAATTGCGAATGAATAAATATGATTATATTTTGATTATAAACGTTTTTCCCACGGCGTCAAAGTATATAATAGTAGAGAAAAAGCATATTTCAAAGTTCGCGAATCATCATCTCATTGTTGATGTTTATTTATAAAGCAGCTATTGTTAGCAATTTTCTGCACGAAGGAAAACCTATCTATTGATAGGTTAGATAGAGAATCTTAAAAAGATTCGATTTCGTGTCAATTTTCTCGTGTTTATCCTACGACAGAATCTATCAATGTATTTTTCCCCGTTTATTACTGTGAATTAATGAACCGTTTCTACGGTTATCGTTGCATTATAATAACGTATTAAGGTACTGTCGGAAAATCAATTTCAGCTATGCTTTCGATTATTCAAATAGCTCGAAAAATGAGCTATTTGATAAGAGCAAACTTTGCTCTTAGTACGATATCCAATATTTATATAATAAAATAACGATACCCTATAATGATACCTGATAAATTAATCGAAAGTTATTTTATCTCGGTTTCAGATGAAAATGGACATAGCCGAAAAAACGCGCACCCTCGAATTCGTCGGATTGAGTATATCGTTGGTGGCTTTGCTCGCTTCTTTGGCTATTTTTTGTCGATTCAGGTAAGTTTATAACAAAAAGGAAATTGCGCTCGATGATACTGCTCCGATGCACCTTACTTGTTAGTTATATAATCGTGTTAACGGAAATGAAATGAAGTAACACGTAGTACATCTGCCATTGAAATACGGTGTTAGGTCCTTGAGGAACACCAGAACGAGGATACACAAGAACCTGTTCGTTGCCATGGTTGTCCAAGTTTTAATAAGATTGACTTTGTATATAGACATCGAACTTTTGAGGAGAAAAGTACACAGTCCGCAACGTGGTATAGGAAATACTGTGAGTCATTAACTCAAAATTCGATTGACACGGATCAGTGGTTACAGTACGATCGATCTACCACCATTCACGATTTTGTTTATTTCGCAGCCGTTTCTCTGCGAGGCTAGTTACGTTTTCTTGGAGTACGCAAAGACCGCCATGTTTATGTGGATGTTCATCGAGGGTCTTTTCCTTCATAACATGGTCACCGGTGAGTAAAGTTTCGCCAAACCAAATCTAATAGTATCAATATAACACGTGTATTTCTCCACACACAGACGCTCTCGTTCAAACGATTTTATTTACTTTTCAACTTTTGTTCGCGAAAATCCTCTTTCGCTGACTGAAAAATAAACAAAAATAAAGAAAAAATAAATAAAATAAGAATGAAAAAGAAGAGGGTTGTACTTTGAGTAAACGAACTTCCTCCCATGAATGTTAAACGGGCCATTTGCATCCGTTAACGAACGCATCCGCTTTGTTCGCTTGGATCCATCCCACTTTATTTTTTCATCAAGAAAAAGTGATGTCTTTTTACAAAGGTGTATAGCCTTTTCTCTTTTTTCACAAGAAACGAAAACTTTCGATAATAATTAGCGGATGCGTTTCGTAAAAGAACAACATTGGCAAACATTTCAAAGAGTGCTGTGTTTTTTATTTGATTGCCTACGCGACCCTGACGCAACCCTGACGCAACCCTGACGCAACCCCCTGCAGTGACCGTCTTTCAAGAGACTTCTTATTACCGTATATATCGATTCGTGGGTTGGGGATGTCCCGTTGTGATAACGTTGATTTGGGCCATTGTCACGGCACTTTACTATCATCCGAAATCCAAGTAAATTTTGCTCATTTTTTTCCTAAAGTCTTACTCAAAGGCGAAACGTTTCTTCTAATAGTATATATTTTTGGATAGATTTTCAAGATGTTGGTCGGGATATAATTTGTCTTCCTACTTTTGGATTCTCGAAGGTCCGAGATTCGGTGTAATACTGGTACGTATGGAGCTCGAATAACATAGCCGAGTAATAATAATAATAATAATCATAATCATAGGTACGCTTGTTGAGCTTTAATTAGTGCTCTTTTTTCTCTGTAAACGTTGCAGCTAAATTTTTTGTTCCTGCTCAACATTATACGCGTGTTGGTGGTGAAGCTACGGCAAAGTCATACCAGCGAGATTGAAAAAGTTCTGTAAGCTTTAACAGAGTTTCATTAAATAAATCGTAATGTCAACGACGAATAGTCAAATTGTCGTGGTCAAAACCACTTGATTTTGTATTCGGTCGACGAACGAAACGAACAAATCGTTCCTTTTCGTCGATACCAATCGATCAAATTGCTATTTCTAATTCCAATAGCTTATTACTTGTTGCAATTGTTTGTAGATAGTACGACGTAGATAGTAGGACGTAGACGTTTGTCGACCATACGATCAAAAGTAAAAGGAAAATCAAAGAAAGTTATTAAAGATATGAAAGTTTGTCGATCAATCTTGTAGAGAAGTTTTTCGCTTCTATGTTTTTCAGAAAAGCTGTAAGAGCAGCCGTTGTTTTATTGCCCTTATTGGGTATCACCAACGTTTTATTCATGATCGAAGCACCGCTGGATAACGTGAAAAAATTTGCGTTGTGGTCGTACTCGACGCACTTTCTTACGTCTTTCCAGGGCCTCTTCATCGCGACTCTCTATTGCTTTCTCAATGGCGAGGTAAGAGAAATTTTCTTTTCTTCCACAAATAGACGTTTTTCAAGAAAGAAAAACTTTCTCGGAACAATGAAACACACACACACACACAAGTAAAGAAGGAACTTGTTGTTAGCAAAGAATAATACAATTTGTTCTTTCCCTTTTTTTTCCTACTCCTTCGAAATAATTAGCATTAAAAATCAGATTGAAGAGGTAGGTAAAGTTTGGAGCAGTCGTTAGCAAGTTAAACCGCAAATAAGTAAAATATGATCGCGTGGCTGAAATGTAGGCGATCGACACGCTTAAATAGAAACGCATCTCGTGTTTCGTATCGAATTAGAATGGAAGTCATTAAAACGCGCGCGCCCTATATTACGTCGCACACCGCGAGTAAGGATCGTTAACGAGAATGGTTAAACTCACATATATATGATATATACAAGTGTACAAGTATATGAGTTTTTTCTTAGCGCGAAATTGCGCGAAATTGCGCGAAATTGCGCTCAAAACTTATTATAACTGTGGGAAATGTCATGACGTTGACAGGTGAGACTAGCTCTAGATAAGACTATCACCGTCTATCTTTCCCTAAGAGGAACGGATCTTCAAGCTAGAAGACAGTCGACTTACAGCGGTTGTCAGCCTTATCGAATAACCTCGGGTAAGTCTCTCTGGCGCAACCCTAACGTCATTTGCCAAATTCTACATTTCTTTCGATGTTGCAGAACGGCGTTCTGATTATGGCAGTTCTTGCGAATCTTCGACATCGAAAAATAAATCTCGTGCCAAAACATCCCCTCGTGCTATCGAACATGCAACGATGCCTTTGAATTCGGCGACGACCACTGCAACAACGACCACGACCACGACAACGACGACCTCGACAACGACGACCTCGACAACGACCACGACCACGACCACGACCACGGAGCAACCAGCGAGCAAACCAGATTACGCGATCACCGTCGAAACATCTATCGTCCAATCTCGATGTATCGAGTATGGTGTAATAAGATTCGAGGCTAACTCGATTAAACTGAAATGAATCTCTTGGAAGTACTCAATCTCTAAATAATAATCCGAAAGAATGCAATGAGTAATTGTGATCTATTGAAAAAAAAAAAAAAAAAAAAAACTATATAGAAAATTCGTGGAAATACGTAGATCGAATATAGACGGACGAGTGGCTATTGAATAATTGCACGTATGTACACATACCTATATTATAATATATATATTTAATATTAATAATATAAATATAATTATATATATATATATATATATATATACGTTCGACGCAACGGTCTGCGAGAGATTCATTATTTGTTAAGGAGTCTGCATATACGTATACCCATACGTATTGCACCGAATCGTCGAGTTCTTTTTTATTCTAGGTGTGTGTATATGTCATATAACTTTTATGTGCACCCACGTAGAAATAAGAAATAATATTGTCGAATGTACGATGTGGTCCAGTGAAAGATGATTTGGCATTTTATAAATATTTTCAATGAGGATATTCGTGTGCTTGATCAAGAAAATATTGGCCAATTCGCAGCACGTCAATTTCGATGATTATTCAACTAATCATCTTAGCTTATGTTCAAATTAATTTCGATAATTGCGTATTCATTATTATCATTGTTCAACCTGCAAACTATAAAAAAGTTGCGTGGCAAAAGTGTCCTTATATCTTTTAGAAAAATCAATATAACGATTAGTTGTGAGAGAATCATTTAGACATTATCCATTACATTATCCATGAAAAATTGATTCTTTTCGTCTCCTCTCTCTCTCTCTCTTTCTTTGACGTAGTTGGTACCTGCTTAAACATTACTTGATTTTCATCGAAATTGTAAGTGCTCGCGAATTTAAGTCATTCCAAAATGATCAATATCATTTGTTTCTCGCGTCTTTGTAGAATCGATACTCATCGATTGTTAATAAAAAGCTTGGCTTGGTCCATTTGTCATATCCAAAATATGAATAAAACAATGGAAAAGAAATATGACGAGAGGTGAGATTGATACGCATTCGAAAATATACTTATTTAAATATATACATATTTTCAGAAAAATGATTTTATTACGATAGAAAGACACAAAAGTGGTGACAAGTTATAGGAACCTTTCTACGTATATCCTTTTACATATACCTTCCTGAAAAAAAAAAAGAAACATTCTCTTTTAGTTATTTTGTAATAGCGACAAATGCATTTGAAATTGCAAGCTCGAACGTTCCCGCAGTTTTGTATTCGCTATGATAGTTATAGTTCGCAGAATCAGAAGGAACGCCAAATTGTTGTACATAGAAACTTATACAAGGACGGACTTATCGATTCCTTAAAGTTAAATATTAAACGCTAAGATGACTCCTCAATTCCTTCTCGATATTCGTCGAAACGAGCAATTATATTTTTTCCTTTTTTAATGTAATTGTAGAGTAAACATAGATAAGTAGGTAGGCGACGAAGGATTACAGGGAAAAGGACCCGATGGTCGAAATAAAGAAGTAAGTTGTGTGTGTAAGTCTGTGTGAGTCTAGAAGGTTCTCGAGCGATATCGGAAAATTCGAGAACGATACGGAGGATGGTCCATTCCTCAGGGATGCAGGGTGGGGGCAGAAACTTATAAGGGAGCGTAGAAGAATCGAGCAATTAGAGAGTGAGGATATTCGCGGGTTTCGCGCCTTTTCTGAGGTCAGAGTGAGTGTGACAGATTGTGAATTGTTATTATAAGCTAATTGTAATAAATAGTAACTTGTCGAATAAAAGAATATCTTTTATATCTTAAGTGGTGCCGGCAACACGGGGAGATTAGATTTCCTTACAGTAATAGATTATCTTAATAAATATATCAATGAAATGATATTCTAAGTCGAGAAGACTATCACAGATACGTTCTCAGAGACTAATTAAAGAGTATTGTCTTAGTTGTTCATAGTATATCGTTCACAAATCATCAGAACTCGTCGTGAAAGCTTTTCTCGGTGTCGACCATTTTACTGCACAAAAAGAGATCGGTCTTGCTCAAAACCTCCGAGAGATTTAATTTCCCGTCGAGATTTATATCCGAGAGACTGATCAAATGTTGAGCCTCTTGAATCGCGTGCCTTGGATTCCGTGGATCAATATACATCTAGAAGAAAAAGAATAAGAAAAAGAAGAAGAGAAGGTAAGAAGAACTGGGCAGGGGGATAAATGCAATCGAGTAGAGAGAGAGAGGAAATACCGACCAAGAGTTCGGTACGATCTGCCTTTCCGTTTTTATTTCTATCGATGAGATAACGGAACTCCTTTCGCCTATCGGTGCTACCTCCGACCGTTTGATGTCGATCCTCGTCGAGTTCCAGGCCGACACCTTCGGACGGCAAATCCGAAAATTCATCCTCCGTCAATTGCTCGTCTCCGTCGCGATCTACGCCAATCAATATAATTAATAATAATTGTTGTCATTTGTAACGATGATAGAATTGAAAGAATGAAACATTGGCAAATGGTTGTATTACCAAATTTGTCAAAAAGATCCTCCACCATTTGCAAAAGTGCCCCGTGACTGCTCTCCGGATGAGTAAAGGACAAAAACTCGTCAAGGGTCAATTTCTCCGGATCGTTTCTCGCTGCATCCGTCCATCTCGCTCTGTCTCTCATGATACTCTCCTTCAAGGTTCGCGACATCTCCTTGTGCCTTTTGTCGTGCGACTGAATGTAACTCTCTGGGAAACCGTGCGATCGTAGGAAATGCGCGTGATATTCTTCCCAGGAAACTTTGCCTATACGAGAGCAAGTAGAAAACAAGGAAAGGATAAAGAAAGAATCGTTCACAAGCTCTTCCTTACCGTTTCTTGGATTATTGTCGATGGCAGTGAAGAGACCGACGTTCTCTTGTATAGCACGACTAATGTGTTCCGTGATCTTATTGTGAATCCATTTGGCCAGCTCTTGAATATCTAACAATTGATTTTCGTCGACGTCCGCCCTTCGAAAAATATCCTCCAACAAAGTTTTCGGATCATCGCGATTCTCCATTTCCTCTACCTCCCTTATAGTCTCTTCGTCCCTACGATCGAAGCCAAGGTTCTCATAACGATTTCGTAGCTTTTTTTCAGTCGCGGTTTCCAGTTCGAAAAATAGGCTCTCGATCGCGGAACCTTCCTTATCACCGTCATCGTGCTTCGAGATCGATCCCGAACTTCTCAGAGGTACGTTCTTCTTGTACCAAACGATTAAAAAAGAAACGTATAATACGAGTGGTACCAAAATGGTCCATCGTAAGAGCCTAAGCCATGGCATTCTACGAACTTGAATTTAGGTGGACGCCCTTTCGATACGTCTACTTGCAATATAAGTTATTGTAATAGGATTCATTACGATCTCGATTAGGAAAGTCTAGGAAAGTTCACTTATTTTTCACATATGGATTCACTTAGTTGTTTCATTAAGTCGAAACGCGGCACGCTCGCGTTCTCTGATGGAACGCATGGTACGACTTTAGGAAGGAGACTCGAGCGTACGCTAGCAGGCAGGTCAAACGTTCGTATTGATCCACTTTCACTCCTACTCCCTCCCTCTAAACCCCACGAGAGAGTACGTTTTCGCAAACGTACCTTATGTCAGACTTATGCACAGGTGCTCCTACTTTTTCTTTTCTATAATGGATGATGATTGAATAATCAAGAAAATACTTGATCGTACATTTATTCAACAAACTAACGTACATCAACAAATCTTGACAGTTTCAAGTTTGTTCATTAAATAAAATCATTAAGATAACAGCACGAAAAGAAAAAATCCATCAATGGACATGAGAAAATGTACCCTTCAATGTTTGTATTTTTCTTTTCTCTTGGTCCATTTTTTTGACATAAAAATATGTAGTCTTAAAAACTGATTATGAAAATTCTATTTCTGTTCGATATCGAATGTACAATCATACGAAGAGGATAGAAGGAAAAAGCTTGCGTCTTGCAATATAAATCACACAAATATTCCAACTCTTCCGCGAAAATCAAAATGAAAAAATGTAAAGAAATTCTATCGAAACCTGAGTTTGTAGGAGAAACAACGCATCACCACAATGACAATAATATGTAATAATAATAATAATAATAATACCAATACAACAACGAAATTAGTCAGCAAAAAAAAAAAAAAATACAATAATATTAAAGTAGCTCTGAAAAGCTCTGAAAAGCTGAAGAAACGATCGACTTAAATCTATTCGTACAACCGTTTCGTTTGTAGATATAGTCTACTTGTTAGATGATAGATACACTTATCTTTTAACGTTATCGCGAATGTTAGTTAGATCTTTCGTGTTATAACAGGTTAATAATTCGATAAATTCGTAAAATCTTGCGATACAGATCGAACTGACAGTCCAGCTGACTCTTTATAAATATTATCCGTACACGTAAGATCGTAATGTTCGCATTAAAGTTCCTAATGAGACAATCACTTTGGATTTTTTCGAGCGTCCGCTTTCTCGTCGTCGAGTTCTAGGCCCAAGTTTGCAACCCCTTGAATGTTGTTCTTGTTTGCTCGTCTCTTCGTTCGCAAGCGAACTATGGCTGCTACCGGAGGACTGAGAAGATCTTCATCGAGTTCGGCCGGATTTTGAATACCGGTCATGAGACTGATCGCGAAACCCAGTATCAACGTCAGGATACAACCGATAGCGCTGTACCAGAGATAGCTCGTCTAAGAGAAAAGAGCCAAAAGAGAGAGAATGAAAGAAATGATAAAAGTTTGGCTTGGAACGAGGACAAAATCGTCATCTGCTTACCTTATAAATGGAAGAAATCTCGTAATAATCATTTTCCTCCGTAAATCTCGTCTCCGCTATTGTCGGCTCGACCGTGTCGTTTAAACACAGACAGTCTCTTATTGAAAGAGGTTTATTCTCAAGATTAATGTAACCATTGATAATCGCTACTTGAGCTCCTAAACCAATCCATAGAATTATCATGAGGCTGGTAATTGCTCCTAACATGGCCCCCTTGGCGTTAGCCCACGGTACGAACATACCCAAAGAGAATAATCCCAGGGTAACTCCACCCACCATACCATTGAACGACAAAGCCACCTGAAGATGATCGTACATCGATTGATCGTACATCGATTGATCGCGCATTAAAGACTTAATTACCTGGAGAACGCTACCGAGTTGTTCCACGACGAAGACGAGAGCGAAACTAAGGACGCCAAATAATATACTGATCCACTTGGCATAAATTGCTCCCTTGCGAGCGGGTAACTCCATCTTGAAAAGTCCTTGCAGAATATCTTCGCACGTGATCGCAGCCAAAGAATTTAAAGCACTTGCGACCGTTCTAAATGCATTAACAAATATATAATAGTAATCTTTGAATGTTGCTTACATATATATATATATATATATTTATTAATGTGATTGAATTGAAATATGCTAACCCCAAGGATGCTGCAAAGATACCAGCGACGAAGAAACCGGGCATACCGCGAAGATTTCCCAAAAAATTCATTACGTATAGGGGCAGTATTTGATCGGAGCCGCTTATGTAATGGGCCGAAAGCGGATCGCAGTCTTTGTAAACGCTATAAAGTACCATGCCCGTTAAAAAATTCACCGTATATATTATGATCATTCCGAAACTGGAAACCCACAAAGCCCTGAAAAAGCAATTCATCGCAATCGTATGCAATTGTATTCAATCGTATGCCTAGCGATAATGAAACTTACGTTCTGACTTGAGAGATGCTTGAAACGCTGAGATATTTTTGGACGGAAGCCTGATTACTGCAATACATGGTGGTCCAATAGAAAGTACCCCCAACGACGACGCTCCAAAAGCTGTGTCGTACCGTTGGTCTTGGATCCATATTGAAGAACTCTATCCTTCCGCTTACTCGATTCTCTTCCCAAACCAATGAAAATCCGCCTGCCCAGGAGATGCCTAAGCCGACTATGAGGAAGAGAGATCCTAGGAGAACGGCTGCTTGAAACGTGTCGGCCATTATGACCGCCTTCATACCACCCTAAATACATAGCGTCCAAACATCTCTCTCTCTCTCTCTCTCTTTCTCTTTCTCTTTCTCTCTCTCTCTCTTTTTCTTTCTTTTTCTCTTTCTCTTTCATATCTATGAAAAATTATGAAATAAATCTTATACCAACCTGCGATGCGTAAAATATGCAGACGAAATAGACTAGAGTAACAGCTATGTAAGTATTAAGGCCTGTGACTGTGTATGAAAAAAAAAAGAGAAGAAAAGTATTAACACCTGTTATCGTGACTAGAAAAAAAAACTTATTATACAATTGGATTACAAGTGTTATAGAAAAATATAAAGGTAAAGTTACCGTGACTTAGAGCTAACGCCGGCGCGTAGACAGCAACGGACGTATAAAAAATCATTTGAAGCATATATAATCCGCTTGCAAGCAATCTACAATGTCGATCGAAGCGTAAATTCAAGTACTCGTAGCTGGACGTCAATCTGAGCTTCATATAAACTGGCAAATAGAGATAAGAAGTGATCGGTACCACTAAAATAAAAGCTAGGCAGGTCATCCAAAATTGAGTGCCCTAAAAACATGAGGAATTAATTCTCCTTCTCTTGGTAGGATCAAGCAAATGAATAAATGAGTAAAAATACCTACCTGAGCATACATCTCGGCAGGATTTCCAAGGAGTTCGATGGCCGTGATAAAACTCGCGGCTAGGGACATGGCCATGGGGAAGGTACCCATGGTGGAGCCCCCGAGAAGAAAATCCTCGCTGGTTTCTTGTTTTTTTGCAAAAAAACCATAGAAGGTGCCTATCATGCAGGAGATGAGTAGCATCGAGCAAAGAACCGCATAATCGGCCCAAGAAAAATAATGGAGTAAGAAGGGTCGATCTTCTTCGCAATTCTCCTCGTCTGCTTCGACTCGTCGTTGCTCCGCCGAGGAAGCCGACAGAAATAAGAACAGCACGAACAGCCGTGGTCGCATTTTGTCTAATCTCTGTCGAATCAACCCATTCGATATCACACAAACTTTTATTCTTCCTAGTTATGCGTCATCGCGTCAAAAAAATAATTAATTAACGTGATTCATCATAACTCGAATCATTAGAAAAGGTGTCCGAGCTGACACATTCCTAAAGAAGATTCTTTTACGAGATGTATTTTGCATACTGGTTACGGTGGTTGCTCCGAGCGTTTGCATGCACGAAACGATTATAAGGTCAAAGAATACAAGCAAATAAAAACTCACTTAGAGTTAAATTACTTAAATTTGGATTATCGGAAAACGATGAACGATCTTTATTACGTCAACGAAGAAAAGGCCAATAAAAACGGATAGGTCTACCGGGAATAGAGCGTGTAAATTGGTGGTATCTATCTCGGTAGATCTTTTAGACGCGTCTCAATTGATCCTTATACTTGACATCGGTCAGCCTTGATCTTGTCACGCTTTAATCAACGACAATTCGATCGATTCTGATTGACGCGATCATCGAACATATGGCAAATATATTTCAAAGTGTTTTTCAATATTTTCCACCGAGAGAACATTATTATCGGATAATGCACCACGTTCGGCCTTGTTAAGAGAACAAAATCTTGGTCAATGCGATGAATCGTTTAACGATCCAAGTTGAAGATCGTAGAATCTTCGGCGATGTCTCCTAGAACGACATCACTCCGGTAATTTCTAGCTAAAACCGGTTATTCTCTCCTTTTTTTTTTCATTCAATTAATTTCCAAAATTAATTTACGCTATCTATGCTAATAATCATTCGTTTATTTCATTATTTTGCCTTTGGCAAGATTGTAATGATAATTTTTCTCCCTCTCGGAAGAAAAGATGCAAACTCGATAACAACCAACYAACTCTAATACTAACGAATATAATAATATTAATAATAATTTATCTTTAGTATGTGTGGTGACGTACCTTTTGGCTGTGAAGAAGAAGGAGCAACGAATCAGGTTCAAATTCGTCGGTTCAATTTATGCGAGGATAAACGCGATAGGATTAATCGCGGTAGGATTAATCGCGCGTACCGAGCAAAAACGTACGAAATTGCAATTGTATGATCTTGCTCGTTTTCCTGACGTAACGCATATATGTATACGAAATAGGAACTTTCAGTTAAAATTTGTACCTTTGATTTTTTTCTACGAAAAGATTATATATATTCTAATTTCCTAGAGATAGATCGAACGTTCATAATTGAAAGCTAACTTCTAACGAGTAAAGGAAGAAGGAAGAAGGAAGAAGGAGGAGTCCGCGAAACGTTCGGAGTCGCGGGTGTCGAGCGGATTAAACTGAGAACGGTTTTAAGACTGGTCGTTTTAATTGTCATGTGAGCGCCTTTATACGTTGCATCCCCTTCTACCCATATAAAATATGTGTGTGTGTGTGTGTGTGTGTGTGTATGCAGCGTCGATAGTATATCGTAACGACGCTCGTAAATAATAATTATTGCGACTCTTCCGTGACAAGTAGCGATGAAAGAAGCCGGATTTGACGATTTTCAGAATAGTAAACGTAGCTAACAATAAGTTTAACTGTGATCCCGTTTGGCTAGGCGCTACCCTCTCTATGTCTCGTGTCGATTGGACATCGGAAAGAAATAGAAGCGATAGCAACCCCAATGACGCAATCTAAAACCACTTACTTTTTACTTTATTTTCATATTTCCAATGAAAATCCTGACACCGAATTCGTTGGATAATACTCCGTCCGTCATAAGGCTCGCGTAATAATCGGTAAATGATGTAAACTAAAAGACGCATACAGAGAAAGGGAGTGGTGCATACATAAACGCAAGACATAATTGAATATGCGTAATGCGATGCACGTGTTTGCGTCATATAATTTCGATGTTAACGCGGTACGTACCCAATATCGTCGGATCATCTTCGTAGCGATATGTTGATACAGGTAAACAGCATTAGCATAAACAGACTTATCTTAAATCTTGAGAACAATCGTATAAGAGACATTTGTCATTTCTAAAGAAAGGCAAACGTGCTTTTCGAATTTCAATATTTACAAGTTACTTTTAATTTCTTCGCAATTAAATGCCCGCTCGCAAAAAGGGTTGCGTCTCGCGCCGAAAAACATTTACACGAGTAACCATTCAATTGTTAACTTTTATTCATCTTCTTCCGAGTGACAAATTGCTATTCGACTTAGGAAGGACCAAACGAACTTACCCCTTTCTCGGAAAGAGTAAGAATATCTACTATGGAATATCTACTCTTGTAGGTTCACGATTCGCATAACTAAACGCATTCGCGACAAATTCTAATAGTATATATCTATTCGATATTTCAAGACGATGAAAAAAACATTTTTCTCGCTCGAGAAAATATATTTACATTCTCGGCAATGATCAATAGATAGAGGAGTAAGATTGCGAAAGCAAACAGGACTAACGAAGATTGTCTAAAAGCACAACAAACAGAGCGAAGGATCCTGTCAGATAGATAGAGAGAGAGAGAGAGAGAGAGAGAAAGAGAGAGGGGGGCGGGGCGGGGAAGGGGGCAAGGTTTCTTTTCAATGTCTTTACATTGTCTTGTCGTCGTAATGAAATTAAGCGCGAACGATGAAGATAAATTTTCGATTGACAAATCGAAATGGTCATAGCAAAGGATGAAGGGATGGTAGGAAAAGGAAAAGGAAAAGGAAAAGGAAAAGGAAATAAAGGCATTAAGGTAAAATTACCTCGAAGACTAACATAAAAGATAAAGACAAAGAAATATACGACTCGGATGCGGTAACGTCTTAATTAATTAATTGCTTGCTCAGCTAACGAATATGGTCCGTCCTACGAATGGAAAATATGTCCGAGTGTCGCTGTCATTCTTGACCGTTGTCTTTCAGTGGAAAAATAATTAAAAAGGGCTCTGTCCCGATTGGACTGCGGCAGCTTGTATAAATTGAAACTGGTTTCAACCGACCGCCGGTGGTTCGATCCAGTGACAAAGCGATGAATCCGATCGGCATCACCCATTCTTCACAACTTTTTAGGACTAACATATTTTCTCTTGTTCAATTTTATATAGACAAAAAAAAACATCCTCTCTTGTTCGCATCTTATTCTACTTTCTTTTTAAGGATACGATCAATAATACAACAATTGTACAAGCTTTGATCACGTAAAATTGATTTTATTTTAAAATCAATGTTCTCTCATACAATTTTCACATTGAATTAGATTTTTTTTTAAAATATATTCTCACTTTAGACGATACAATATTACACGACATTATGTTATATTCAATTGTATAAATAAAAAGTATATGTGAAACATTTTCATACTCATTTGACGAGCATATTGGACTCAAATTCTGATAGGCATTGCGATAAAAATCGCTGACATAGTATGTCCGTTCACATCAATACTGTTTTTACATAATGTTTTTATTTTCAATTAAATAAAAAAAAAAAAAAAGAAAAACACTACAATAAAATGATATATAAATGTAAGTAAATTGGCAGTGTAATGATTTATGGAAGACAAGTTGATAGATTTAATGAAGTACATACATTTCGAGCTAATACTATACGAATTAAATTGTTCTAAATGCCATTAAAAAAAAAAGCGAGAAAATGCGAAGGCGCTAAAAAATAAAAACTTTACAATATAGTCATTAAGAAATGAGAGAATAATTCTAAGTCAGAATAAAACCACATTTAAGAAATCATGATCATAATAAAGGAATACTAATTTGTTTCTAAATAACCCTGAGAACATTAATATTGTATGTTTTAATTTCAGTATCTCTAGATGTGAGATATCTGATATTATTATATCTCGCGATATGTGACCCTATAAAGTATAGAAAAATCAATAGATTTAAATACTTGTACTAATTAGTTCCCCTTCTTCAACCTGTTCAGCATTTAATATATATTTTCCTTCTAATTTCCTATTCGAATCTGCCAACTCGTTGCGTTCGAAATGAAGAGATCGTTTATTGCTTAAGCGTTTTCCAATTATTGGAAACAGCAAATTAGGATCTAACTCTTTTTGAGTTTGCTTAGATATGCACCGAATTATGTTACTAACTAGTAAACCAACGATAAAAGTAATCAGGAACCCAAGTGGTGCATACCACATATATGATATGCGATATAAATAAAAATAGTGATTATCGTCAATTTTTCTGAAACAATTGATTGTTAATGAAACAAATTTTCTCTTTCAATACTTATTAAAGTTAATTTTAATATAATATTGATTAAAATATATTACTCACGGAGAAGATAGTTCCATCGAACTTCTAAAGGTACTTAAAGTTATATTTTTGATTGAATTGACATCACAGCCATCCGTAAATAGTGGTAATTTAGTAGGAATAGGTCTAGGTTGTCCATAAGCAATCCATAATAGAAAGACAAGTGATAGTATTGTTCCTGTTATAGCTCCCGATTCTATTGCGGATTCGGTAGCCATTCCTAATGTAAAAACTCCCAAAAGTGGGCCTCCAACGATGCCAAATATTGTCAATCCTGCCTAGGACGCGCGACACTAATTTATAATACACTGTGTAAATCTATATGATTTAGTCAATTATAACATACTTGCAAAACGCCTCCTAAAAGTGCAGCAAGAAAAGCCAATGCGATAGAGATTAATCCATATGCAAACGCAATTACTTTTCCAATAGTGGCTAAACTTGTAGGACTCAATTCTTTACGAGTACAATGATTATATACAGGTTTGATGTAATCTTCTAATGTAACTGCTGCCAAAGAATTTAAAGCTGCAGAAATTGTACTAAGACCAGCACTGAAAATACCTTTTAAAAGATAACGAACATATCGAGTCACATTCTTCATATTTAATTAATTTCACTACTTTTTTCTTGTATTATCTTGTAGTATTATATTTACCTGCTATGAAAAGACCTGGCAATCCAGGTAAATGATACATAGTATCCATTACGTATAGGGGCATTAACATATCCATAGTAGTAATTCTTCCCTCTGTTAAGGGATCGCAAGCAAAATATTTACTATACATGGATAGTCCAGAAAAACATGTCGACACAGAAAGAAATATTAAAATAGGCAGAGACAGCCACAGCGATAGTTGGGCTGCTTTTAAGCTCTTAACGGTTAGCATACGTTGCACTTGAACTTGATTGACTCCGTATAAGGACAAAAATGTAGCCAAACCGCCAAAAATGATAGACCACCAGGTATGTCGTTCCGTTGGATATATAGAAATGCTAAATAAAATATTGATAAACAAAATATTGAATAATTAATCAAATATATCAAGTGATATGATATAATTATTAATGAATGTTATAAAGCGCAGTACTTGTCAAATTCTATCCGTTGTCCAATCACCGCAATATCCCAAATTTTGTCTAAGCCTCCTATTTCGCATGAGGCTATAATAATAATAATAATTACAGAAGCAAACATAAGTAAGCTTTGAAATACATCTGTTATTAAGACAGCCTTAATGCCTCCTATGCTAGAATAAAAACTGCAAGCTAATCCAATTATAATGATACTTCCAGTTTTAGAAATTCCTGTAGTCGCTTCCAAAGCTAAGGAAGGAGCATAAAGTACAACTCCGGAATATAAAAGCAGCTGTACCCAGTATACAAAACTAGCCATCATTCTAGTTTTAATTCCAAAGCGTTTCTCCAAATACTAAAAGTTATTCATTTGAAATATGTAATTCGTTATGTACAGTTTCATTCATAATAATAGTTACCTCATAAGCACTTGTTGCTTGAAGCTTAAAAAATACTGGCAAAAATCCATAACAAACTATAGGAATACCTATTACGTATGATAAATTTATAATAACAAATTGTGTCCCATAGTAATAATTTTCAGCTGATACACCGAGTAAAGTGATAGCCGACATGAAAGAAACCACTAGAGCGATTGAAACAGGAATAACGCTCATTGACTGACTTGCATTAAAATACTCCTATAAAAGGAAATCGAATTATTTCAATCGAATAAATATTAATTTAGATAATTTTCAATAAAGATATTTTCTATTACCTCTACAGTTTTTTGTCGGCCACCACTGAACCTATAATAAATACCTATACCGATACTTATGCATAGCATGAGAAATATAACCGCATAATCGACCCATCCTAACGTTGATGTTTCTACCATATTTTATATCTGTAAAATACAAATACAAGTGTAATCTTACATGAAACAAATACGTTTATTTATTGAATCATTTTATTCTTTCCATGATATTGAAATACAACAACATTTTACAAATCTTCTCATATACTTTCACCTGTATTTTGTAACATCTAGTAAAATAACATGAAATGTGGGATAATTAACAAGATAATCTTATTTAATGATTTATTTATTGAAAAAAGTTTGATGAGTTGATTCAAATGAATGTTGAATCTATATCGTCTAGCTATTTTTCATATCATCTATACTGACCTAGTATAAATCTATAAATACCACATATAACGTGAGTTACACTTGTTATCACATAAAAAAGGAGATACGTTAAAAATGACGAAATTATACTTTTATCTTCGCACACAATATAACTATGTACTAATAGGACAAACAGCACAAGTCTTTATACGATGAAACTAAGCTTACATAGTCGGAGATACGGTTAAGCGCGTACTAACGCACGTGTTCAGTTTCTAACCCATTTATAGAGAGGGAATTTGATTTGTGTATTTGTGCATGATTTGTACCACATTTGTGCACTGATATTCGCAGATGTGAGCTGCCCTTCTTTTATTATCAATATAAATCCATGCTCACACTGAATAAATCTTTATTTAAAATCAGCAATGTTTTTTGTTTTTTTTTTACTAGATATAGCCTAGCACATAAAGGCTCGTCTACAACAATTATAAAATACAATAATGTCATTTTTATCCACAATGTGAATTAACCATTAAATAAATAAACTTTACAATTTAGCTATATACGTTATATTCTTCCAATAAACAATGATTAAAGATAATGTTTAATATTTATTGTAACATATTATATGGACAATTAATATCAATATTTTATTATTGTATTTTAAAAATGGCGCGTAAAATTTGACTCGAACTACCTGTAGATATCGAAACTTTTGCTATCGATATATACGTTTAAATTCGCTTGAATTTGGCTGGCACACGTACCCGGTCTTAAATGGCAGAATACGGTAAAAAGTGTGATGAAGATTGTTCTTTTGATTATGGCGATGACAAAAATAAAGGCGTGTGTCTTATTAAAGAAGAGTAAGTTTTTAATTATTATCAACACTTATAATAGAAATGATCGAATAGTTATGTCAGCACGCTAGAATCATAACCTCAAAATGACACATTACGATTCTGTCTCGTACATTTGTCGATGGTGGTTTTACATGTGATATACATCGTGTTACAAAGTTGTCAATATTTAGATGAACCTTTTGATTGCAGATTCATAATCGAAGATAGAATAAGATTGCAAAATGAAGAGTGCCTTGTTGGATCAAACAAGCGAAGCGCGGAGGAGAGTATCAACGCGAATGAGGAGGAACCGACGTCTCATGAATTTTCGTCGAAAAAATTAAAATCTGAAGAAAAGAAGGAAAAAGTTCGTGGTCAAAATAAGGCTAGACCACCACCGTTCAAAACCTTGCGCGAAACAAGCCTATGCCCATGGATAGCGGATCAAGCGGTAGGAGAACCTGAGAAAAAATGTGAGATTAAACATTGTTCTTTTCTACACGATCGAAAAGAATATTTGCAATTGAAACCAAGCGATATTAGCGAGGAATGTTATATTTTCAATTTAATGGGTAGATGTCCCAGAGGTGCCGCATGTAGGATGGGTTCTAATCATTTGACAGTGGATGGTTACAACATAGTAGATGCACAAAAATTAGAAGAATTTAATAAAAAACCAGCTTCCACGCAAAATCTATTATCCAAGGTACTCCAAAATAAGCTTAGAAAACATAAATATAATTTTTCCAAGGCCGAAGCAATAGTTAAAAGAAACAGTTCATCCGCCAAGAAGATATCTACCGAAAGTCAAAAGTTGAACGATTCCGTTGAAGAGACGTCTCGACTGGAATGTTCTACAGTCAAAAATGACGGGGAAGAATTTGAAAAAGATAATATGTCGAATGAAATTAGTGAAAAAAAAGAGTCAAGGATCGGACCCGTAGAGGACTACGATTTGATTAAAATTCGAGCTTCGGAAAAGAAAAAGATCGATTGGAAGAATAAAATAATGTTAAGTCCTTTAACGACCGTGGGTAATCTTCCATTTCGAAGAATTTGCAAAAGTTACGGCGCCGATATCACTTGCGGAGAAATGGCATTAGCTCCTAAAATACTAAAAGGAGCGCATGAGGAATGGGCTTTGGTAAAACGGCACGAAAGCGAAGACATTTTTGGCGTACAATTGTGTGGTAATAATCCTGGAGTATTGACAAGATGTGCTCAATTATTGAACGAAGAAATTAATGTAGATTTCATAGATTTGAACTTAGGATGTCCTATCGATTTAATTTACAGACAAGGTGGTGGAAGTGGTATGCTCAATAGATTAAACGTATTAGAAACGGTTATAAAATCTGTTAGTCAAGTTGTGGAAATACCTTTAACGGTAAAAACTAGAACAGGGGTTTACATAGATAAACCTATCGCGCATAATCTAATGCCAAAGTTTCGAGATTGGGGCGTATCCATGATTACCGTGAGTAATTTACCTTCATTTTGATTTCAAGTTTATAAGTTTATATAAGGTATTGATAATTAAGAAAAGTATTTTTTATTCAATAGTAAATGAATAACAATTGCATATTGAGCAGGTTCACGGAAGATCTCGCGAACGAAGGTACACCAAACTTGCAGACTGGAATTATATAGAAAAGTGTGCACAGGCAGCAAAGCCTATACCTGTATTTGGCAACGGAGATATTCTTTCGTACGATGATTATCAAAGAGCACTAAACACCTACACTTCCGTACAAGGGGTGACTATAGGAAGAGGAGCATTAGTAAAACCTTGGATTTTTACCGAAATAAAAGAAAAAAAGTTGATAGATGTAAGAAGTACAGAAAGATTTGAGATATTAAAGAAATACGTTAATTATGGTCTCGAACATTGGGGATCTGATACGCGAGGAGTTGAAACAACAAGAAGATTTATGCTAGAGTGGATCTCCTTCTTACACAGGCAAATATTTTTTACTTGGAAATTGACAATGAGTTAGTGCAAACGTATTGTTATATGTAACATATTTTATTTAGGTATGTACCTGTTGGACTATTGGAAAGACCACCGCAGAGAATCAACGAGAGACCACCATTTTATAAAGGTCGAGACGAAATGGAAACGCTCATGGCAAGTTCTAATTGTACGGATTGGGTGAAGATATCGTAAGTTCGTTTAGACAATAAGTTAGACCTAAACTTCATAGGATAATCGATGAATATCGTGTCATGTTTGGTTTTTTTATTTTAGAGAAATGTTGCTTGGGAAAGTACCCGATGGATTCCACTTCTTACCTAAGCACAAAGCAAATTCCTGGGAGTGATAGGAGAATTATATTTTTATTTTGTTTCTTTATTCGCAAGAATTTGAAAAATAAACCGTGAACAAAACAACTCTGATCTGAAGAAATTTTATTCAATGCATTATAGTTGACGCTACATTTTTCATCATTGATGAAAATTAATAATGAGCAGCGATATCACCGAGTAGAGAGACCGGCCACATGCAGTCGCAACCGCCAGCAATTTCTTTGGTGAAAGGTTCCCAACAATCGCTGTCCCAGGCGCGTCTGACTAAGAAGAGGGTCCTACTCCTTTGTACGCAATGAAAGCCAGGATGCGCGCATTTCTGAAACACGTATGCTAGCGTATAGGCAAATGAACGAAATTTAAATGCATTAAAATACAACCTGTTTGGATGATCTCGTTGCTCGCTCAGATGCTCGATCGAGAAGCGAATAACTCTTGCAATAGACTTCGTGATAATGAGGCGGTTGATACTCGTAATTTTCATCGTTGAACTCTACTTTTCTGGTCACAGTTTCGCAGAGGTTTCGATATTCCTATTGACAAAGAGTAAATGAAGAAAAAAGAAAAAGTAAAAGTAAAAGTAAAAAAGTCTATAAGAATTTATACAAGAATTACAGGCATTAAATTTCTATTCTGCCGGTCGAGTTCTCCAAAATCTTTTGGTCTTTGGAATTCTTCATTGTTGTATTCTTCCGGTAGATAAGAAAGGTCTCGTAAAACGGGAAGATTGTTGCGCAAGTTGGTCTCGAAGATCTTGGTAAAATTGAGCTTCTCGTAAAGTGCGGTAGAATCGTGTGCGAACACGAGCAATTCGGCTAGCTGTTGAAAAAAGCAAAATTGTCAAACTAAAATCAAATGTTTCGTGTCGGTAAGCTGGCTCTATAAAACTATGAAACGTCGTCATTATTCGTGTATGGGGAGGGTAGGGAGTCGTTTATCGAGTGGGAGCGAAGCTGGTGTGAATCATCTGTCCGATATTGCGCCTTAAACGAAACGACCAAATCGAAAGCGATATTAGAATGAATATTTCCTGACTAATGTCAAACGATAATCATTTATTTATCTGATTTTCTATCGTTTAATATATTAAGCAAGCGGAGATTGTTTTCGAGATGACGTCTTCTCGGCGATGAATGTTAATCGGTTTCTGAAAATCAAACTTGGCTCGGCAGACAAGGTCAGCCCTGATTGAGTCAACGTGCCCCATGTCGTACGATATAAATTATTGTTCCCTGCGACTCTCGCTTAATTCGCGCATTGGCTTCGGAACGACGAAGTAAGGTTTTCTTTGGTTGTTGGTGTCGTTTCTGTGGGTCATTCTGTGGGCCACTCCGTGGGGCCTGTTTTCGAAGAGCGCGTAGGAGCGGTGCGGTGCGCATTCGCCGCGAGAAGCGCACTCCACGGTTCGTGGCTAGGAGGTACTTATTCAATTGAGAAGTGCGCCCCGTCTGACATAGTTCAGTCGACGACGAACTTACATCTACTTCGGAATTTGCATCTGTTCGGTCTGTCTCGCGTTGTTAGTACGGTAATTAAAGTACGGTAAATTTCGCCTTTGTTATTGATATCGATGACGACGATGCCATGGGAACCGATCTTTGTGCAAACGGAACTTTAAAGTCGACCCCCGTCAGGTGAGATGCACGAAATATTTACACCTATGTAAATTACAATTGGAGTTGGTCTTTTTCCGTTAGCAGCGATGATTTTTATGACAGTGAAACGGCTTAATGGTCATTATTCCTGCCCGAGTTAATAACCAATTGACCCTCGACCGCCTGATCAGAGGTTTCATTGACGAAGAGCGCCATTAGACACAGTCGAACCATCATCGTGTGGCAACGCTCCAAATTTCCTCATTTTCTTGTCTCTTTTTTTCATTTCAATTGTCAAATTGACAATTTCCATTATTTCCATTATAAAGGTGGTAAAATAGATTATATCCTTATCGTTAAGATGAAATAAAAAAAAAAAAAAGACATTTGTTTTTTCTTCGTTCCTCGATATACGGTAATAGATTAGTAGAATGAGTAAATTGGAACGGTACGACCACGGGACGACGTCTAGTTATTCCATTTAGAACAATTGCGGATCGTTGGAAAATACACACGTGGACGTGTTTGTTCAAATGTACTTATAAATGTGCTCGTTGATGATCGCAAGTATGATCGCATATATGATCGCATGTATGATCGCACGTATGATCGATCTATGACTAATAACTTTCTAACTAATAATTTAACTCTCGCGGGTGCCACCAAAGAGTGTGGAAAAAAATAAGAAGAAGAACAAATAATACGCCACGACTTATTTTTCAAGTGGTAATAAATTGTAAAAGAGCATTTGGATAAATTTCATTGTATTTAATGAAATAGAATAGTGTACGTATAGTAGACGAGGCGGCGTACGTCAAAATTCGTGGGACGGAATGATTTTCTCTCGTCGAGGCTCGAAAATTAAACGATTCTCTGACGGAACGAACGTGGGAGGAAAACGGCGCCGGTAAGGAAATTAAGTGAAAATCGTCATCCTGTGGCCTGCAAATCTAATATTTAACCTAAATATTTGCTTACGCGAAAGAAATACAAACCAAAGAAGAACTTTCGATTTGTCGATCGAAACGTCGATGCTCGCATTTTAGACAACGACGACGATCTTGAAATCGGTTCTTACTGTTTGATAATATACTTAGAGCATAATGTAATGAGAAATGCGGATTTAGAAATGCGTTAATCGCATTTTTAAACATTGAAAGATATTTTGACGCGCTTGTTTCGTTCGAAAAATTGCCGTAACATTTTTTGGCGTAAATGATATAAGAAAAAAAAAAAAAACAAAAAGCCAAAGAGGTTACTAGCCGGTCGATGAAGAACGTCAGTGAAAAACGTAGGACGGACGGACGGACGGACCATTGACTCGAAAGAAGGGACAGTAAATTCGCGATAAGATTATTTTTAGCCAACGTTAGAGGGCTTACCCCTTGGCGGTGGCTAAAAATAGTCCGTAAGGCCAATCCAGCTCCAATTATTCCATTTAGGTATTTAGGTGACAATCGACCGACCGTCAATTTAGAAATATTCCACACGCTCTCGCAAGCAAGCGGGGATTTTACGTGGCTTCCTTTGGCCCTAGGATTGCAGTAATAAGATGTTATAAAGACGTTATAAAGTCGTTATTGCTACAATCCTAGGAGCCGATATTTTCTTATCGAATATTAATTATTTTCAAACGATCCAAGTTGAAAGATAAAAGAAGGTAGTTTTGGTAAACGCCTTATTAGTTGCTACCCGTCTAACAAGCACGCACGTCCGTTTGCAGCGTCGTAGATAACATTATGAGGCAACGCAAGTCCGGTGCACTGGATGCCACGGCGCCGATATCGCCGGAGGAGGAACAGCAACTCAAATTTCAAGATAACAGATTCCTCACGACTTTGGTACTCGGCAGGAGTAGGTGAGTACACGGTCTTTCTCTTATTTACTTAACAACAATTTTGCTTACTTTTATTACGAAAAAAAAAAAAAAAAGAAAAAAGACAAAATAATATGAAACTATTGGTTAGAGTCGAAGAGGCTTTAAGTAAGAGCCATAGCTTTAAAGTTCGGGAAGTCTATGAGCCTTAACGAGCTAAACGAATCGTTCGTAAACTCGTCACGCGATCTCGTTCCCATCGTTTTCGAGGAAGAGGGTGAAGAGGGTGAAGAGAGGGGAAGACGACCGATCCTCTCTCTTTTGCTTTCCTGACAGCATTGAAATCATGAAAAATAAGTCATTCGACACGAAAGAACAGTTGTGTAATCGGAAAAAAATTGCTCGCGAGAATTTCATTAGCGCTTCGCAAGAAACATCGCGCCTGCTTCTATTTCGGTGTTGCTTTACTTAGAAACGTGCTTCTTATACTCCTAAAATATATTTACGCGAGTCTTTCTGATTAGAGATGATTAGAGACAAAAAATCAAACAACTTACTAAAAATAGTTTTCCGTACAACCTCGGCATCCCGTGGAATGTATAAATCAAGATGGTAACCGTAGTAGTTGCAAACCTTTTGTAAAATCAAGGTAAAAGTCGTGCAGATTATATACCAGAGAAGGTATCGTTTCGAGAGGGAAAATCATACCTATTTGCGTTAGAGAGGAGATGCTAAAGGTTAAAATAAAATTCCTGTACAAATAGAGAAAATCAGAGATAACGGTGCGGGTAGCATCTGACGCGTTGAACATTTATATCCGCGGATCGATTGACATTAATTAAATCGGTAGGATTGCGACGGGACGATTTACAGGAGATTTGTCAAATGCGAAACGAACATAGATATCGGCGATGTCATTGTTAACGTTATCGACGTTATAACGTTCAATCAATATCGTTAATAAATCCAACTCGTTGAGGTCCAGTCGACGACACGAGCGTCATTTTCCAACATTTTTTTCATTCCACCTACGCGCTTCCATTACGTCTTACAACGACGGCGTCTAGCAAAAAGGAAAAGACGGAGAAGTAATTAACTTTCAACGTTCGAACCTTGAAACTATGTAATTAGTTCTAGGAAGTTAATTCAAGCGCGTTTCAAGATTATCAAACCGATTAATTCCTTTACTTTTATTTCAAATTTCCCGCTTCGAGGCTCGACGTTGCATCGCGATCGATTACAACGGAGGTATCGATCCTCGAAGGTTCCTCCGTATTATAATATATATATATATTTATATAATATAGTTTTAAAGAACATTTTTTGAATGACTTTTTGTCCAAAATTCTTTTGCAAAAAATGACGTGATATCGATTAACATAATAATAACGTAACGTCTATCGAAATCGTAATCGCTCGTCGTATCTTATCGACCTAACCCCAATTTTATTCTTTCTCTCTCTTTCTCTCTCTCTCTCTCTCTCTCTCCCTCTCTATTCTATTTATTTCGTATTTTATCTCTCTCCTCTCGTAATAGTCGTAGGCGTGGGTACTCCCATTTAGTTGAAATTATTTTCGCTCGTTACAATTACTACGGTAGGAAATCCCTGTCTTACGGATTAAAGGGTATGACGAATGTTCACTATTTTTTTTAATATTTCATATGCACAATTATATCAGGAAGCAATAGCAATTATAATTATTTCTACTTGTTTTTCTCATATTCAAAATGACAATTTTGAAGGCGAAAGGATTAACGATTGCACTTGGTGACCAATAGCGTGCTGTCAAAATAAACGCTGCACTGCGTCATGGCCAATAGCATGGGGCCAAGAATAGTGGCGGGATTCTTGATAAAGTTTTGACACACGGAGTAGGATTATTAGTCGCACGACGCAAAGAGTTTTACCGAAAGAACGAATGCGCACTAGTATTCGATCGAACGCCCCAGACTGCGGTACTTGAGTCTGATAAATATCGTCTTGTAAAACAAGAATACGCAAAAAAGGAAAAACAAAGAGAGAGAGAGAGAGAGAGAGAGAGAGAGAGAGAGAGAGACAGAAACAGAATCGATTCGTGCGTAAGTTGAAACCTCTTGTTTTTATTCGAATCGAAAGTATCTCTAGAATGTTTCATGCCCCTTTGTTATTTGAAAATTCTTTAACAACGTTTTATTAAAATGATCAATTAAAAGGAAATACTTAAAAAACGGTCACAAGACATAATCATATATGATTTGATTGAACGCAACCAGTTTGTTTGCGTGTAGAATTAATTTAGGCATACGCACTGGCACCGCCGATGATTCGGTTCCCTAAAAAACCTCAATCATTTCAATGAATCGAAACGACAGTTTAGCGTAGGACGCATTTGTTTCTCGCAATTACGCGTAATTGGTGCTCGATAAATGTTTTCTTTTTTTTTCTACGCGTTTTTCTTTTAAACAAAAAAATAAAATGTTATCGTAAAAAAAATGTTGCAACCGATGCAACTTTTTTCAAGAAAATAATTAATATGTATTTAGGGAAAATAAATCCAAAAGAACATTTGTAAGTAAGTGTTTCTTTGATAAACGACGAAGCAACCGCACAAGCGTTATCTTTGTACAAGCATAAAAGACAACATTTGTTCAGTTTCAACGCATGAAGATAATCTGATTTAATCCTTTATCTTTGCATACATGATTGCGCAAACGATATTAAAGCGTGAGTGAACATTTTCAACAGGAAAATCACGCCGGACGTCCTGCCGTCCTGTCCTTCTGGAATATTTCGACAAAGATCCCTTCATTCGACGATCGACGAAGAAGGGTTGCAACCAACGGACTCGCAGCGAGTCCTTTCGACCGTCTTATCGAACGTTCTTTACAACAACAATAACAACAATAACAACAACAATAACAAGAAAAACAATAATAGCAGTGGTGGTGGTGGTGGTGGTGGTGGTAGTAGTAGTAGTAGTAGTAGTATCGTCAGTGGTGGGTTAAAAGCTCAGGCGGCGGCGCGTGCCACTCGGGTCGGTGGTGGTGGTGGTGGTGGTGGTGGTGGAAAATTCGCAGCCGAGAGCGGAGGCGGCGCCTCATTATTCTATAGGGGCGCCAGAGCTGCCAGCAAGCACGCGCGCCTTGGTACGGCACTGGCTAACAAAATGGCGTCTGCGAGCTCAACCGCGGTCGTACAAGGCTGGCCGAACACCAAGGACGACTACGAGCTCAAAGAGGTTATCGGTGAGTAACTACCACGTCGTGAATTACCATTCCCCTCCGCTATCCCTTTGTCCTTCTATTAATTCTATGATCGAACCACTGTCTTCTAAAGAAAATCTTTCACAATTCGAGCCGGTCGCCTGTGATTCTCTGCTCTCTCTTTCTCCCTCTCTCGTTCCCACTCTCGCCCCCCCCCCTGTTCCCGTTCTCGTTTCTACTCTTTAATCCGTCTCTTTTACCATCGAATTTTATCATCCCTCAAAAATTTCACTAAATTACTGAAACGACAATGAGACAGACATAAATGCTCGATGGTATTAAACAACGCTCGATCAACGTGTTTCAGTTATTTTCTACAAATTTTCTATGTCTTTTCTCAAACGCCATTCTCTCCAAAAGCAAAGTCCTAACCGGCTCCTTCGTGATAACAAATTTCTTTTCTTCCTTTTCAGTTGTTTCTCTTTTTCTTTGATGCATCGTATACGTAAAACATCTCTCTCTCTMTCTCTTTCTCTCTTTCTTTCTCCTTCTGTAATTTCATTTCTTAACTATGCTCGTAATCTCGTGATTGTCTCTTTTTCCTTCTACTCCTTCCTTTTTTGTGAATATTCTGCTGTACTGTTATATATGCTATATACATGCTATATATATGTATATATATATATATATATATATAGATATAGATTCTAACCTAAATGGTTCGCATCGATCGTGTATTTTGCTTCATTTCTTCTTCTTCCCTTTACGTAGAAGATTCATTGAATATTTATCATATACTATTTGTACAGCTGACATCAATCACGAACCTGTTATCGCTGTTGAATTTTATTTTTAAATTTGAGATTATTTGTTATATATCATTTTTCGTATATAGAGAATAAAGTATCGTGATTGATATTTAAAGGTGTTGGGGCCACTGCGGTAGTTCACGCAGCATTTTGTATTCCACGCCAAGAAAAATGTGCTATAAAGAGAATAAATTTAGAAAAATGGAATACCAGTATGGACGAATTATTGGTAAGAGTATTGTGTTTATTTGATAATAATTATTATATATTTATATTTGAGTATTCAAAAGTATTCTTTCTTTACAATAATATTGATCTGTTTGAACAGAAAGAGATTCAAGCAATGTCTTCTTGCAACCACGAAAATGTTGTAACTTATTATACGTCATTTGTCGTAAAAGAAGAGCTTTGGCTTGTTTTAAGACTACTGGAAGGTGGATCTCTGTTGGATATAATAAAACATAAAACCAGAACCACCAATTGCAAACATGGAGTATTCGATGAAGCTACAATAGCTACTGTACTTCGCGAAGTCCTAAAAGGTCTTGAATATTTTCACAGCAATGGTCAAATACACAGGTAATATTCAATAGATTAATAATATTTTTTTTTCATTTGTTCGAACAATTTGAACCTTTGCAATGTGGAATAATAAAATGGGAATATAATAATATAAAAAATAGTAAAATGGACTAGTATATGACTTTTAACAAAACAAACAAAACAATATTAGGGACATAAAAGCGGGTAATATCCTACTAGGAGAAGATGGTACTGTACAGATAGCTGATTTTGGTGTCAGTGCTTGGCTCGCTACAGGAAGAGATTTAAGCAGACAAAAAGTTAGGCATACTTTTGTGGGAACGCCATGCTGGATGGCACCTGAGGTCATGGAGCAGGTGAGAGAGGAAAGTAACACTACAACTTCTTAGCCTGCATTTTCTGTGTCTACATATATTTTCTGTTGCATTAATATTGGTACAAACAAGTGCTAAGATACAAATGTACTGTCTATTATTGATCCAAACAACGTTGATCCAAACAACGTTGATCCAACGCTTCGATTAAGTTGAAATATTCAATGCTTTTTCACATTTACAAGTTAATTAAATATAACAAATATCCTCTTACGTTAAACTTCTTGCATGAAATTGGTACTATCGATGATTGGTTAACGTTTCATTGAAGAATAATAATGTTTCTCTAAAATATTTCACTACTTTGAATGGCTTAAATAAAGCGCGTATTTAAAAAGCTAAACGTTTTAATGTAATAATGTAATAATGTAATAATGTAAATGCTTGCAATATTAGTTGTTCGAATTACGCCGCGTTCTCGCGTCATTTTGAAAAGCACGCTTTTTTTAAATGTTGTCTATCTCTTTTAACAGACTTATCGTAAAAGCAATTATGATATGCATATTTATTTGCAGGACCATGGTTATGATTTTAAAGCAGACATTTGGTCGCTCGGTATCACTGCCATTGAAATGGCAAGCGGTACCGCTCCTTATCACAAGTATCCGCCAATGAAAGTATTGATGCTCACTTTACAAAATGATCCACCAACTTTAGATACAGCGGCGGATGATAAAGATCAATATAAAGCGTATGGTAAAACATTCCGTAAAATGATTGTCGATTGCTTACAAAAGGATCCAACTAAGAGGTAAATTACGCGTACAATTGATATTTGCGATATCATCGATTTGCTAAATATTGACCAACCACTAATTTTTAGACCAACTGCTACAGAACTTTTGAAACATCCCTTTTTTAAAAAAGCAAAAGACAAGAAATATTTGCAACAAACATTAGTTGCTATAGGTCCAAGTCTCGAAACTAGAGTGCAAAAGGTATGTTTCTTTACTTAATACTTTATATATTTACTTAATACTCTAAACATAATGTATAATTTAAAACAGGCATCGAAAAGACAACCAGGTACATCGGGTCGTTTACATAGAACGGTAACGGGAGAATGGGTTTGGTCGTCGGAAGAAGAGGATAGCGCATCTAGCGGTGAAGAAGGCAAAGAAGCGTTACCAGTTAATACAATAGAGAATGCAAGTAGCGAAGAAGATCCTGAACAAGACGAATTTTATTCTCAAGTCAAATCGGCACCAAGTCATGCCGTTATACAAGCTGCCGAGCAAAATGTTCCTATAAATCTGGTGTTAAGACTACGGTATGCATATTATTATTTTATCTTGAAATATTTCAAGACATTTTAATATTATTATATATCCCATAATATCCTTCCAGCCGTCCAGACACTCAATTCACCCTTGAAGAAAAATCAGAGTATACATCGTCCATCCCGATCCTATTAATTTATTTACAAAAACTTATCGGATTATCTACAATATTATTTTGATTTGATTTTTTTTTTTTTTTTTCTAGTAATCAAAAACGTGAACTAAACGATATCAGATTCGAGTTTGCTGTGGGAGTTGATTCTGCCGAAGGCATTGCTGCTGAACTAGTCGGTGCGCTATTAGTCGACGGAAAAGATATCGTGGTTATAGCATCGAATTTACAAAAATTAATAGACAGTGCTGGACAATTACGGACTGTTACATTTCCATTGGTAAAATAAAACTGTTTTTCTTCTTATTTTATAATATTATTGTGTGTGTGTGTGTGTGTAAATATTTACACTTATCCTTTATTTGTTTTAGATTTCTGGTCATGCAGCCAACGAAGTACCAGATGATAAAGCATTAATAGGATTCGCTCAGATCTCCATCACGGATTAAACAATTTCGTAGTATTCTGAAGTCTCAGAATAATACTCTTACGTGATGATATATGATGCAGAAAGGATCAAAAGCTATAGCTATACCGTTTGATCATTCTACAAAAACATTGTACAGTATAAAAAAGCATCGACGAATTTGCTTGAGACGACGCGTATGGCTCTAGTTTTGGATATTTTTGCGATAACTCTTTTCAGTTGCTATGATTTTTCAGGTGATTTGATCACATAGGACATAGAACCTACAAGATAGTACATCCTAACCATAGTACATCCAGTGACAAAGAACCTTTGAAAAAAAAAAAGTTCAAGTTTTTATGTCTATATTATGTTCACGTAAAGCATTAAGGCGAAATCCACACAATTATTATCCACGAAGGCTTGCAAATTTGACATATTCTACTCCCTAAAACGCTATAACTTCACGTTATTATTCTAGAACGATTCATATTATTTTAATTTATGTAAATATTAGCGATTCAGTTTGTTCGTTGTTTCTCTTCATTATTTCATGTAAATTTGATTGAATTTACGCGCATTGAAATAATGTAGCATTTGAAATAACGATGAACTCACATTGGGTGAAATCAGTTGAGGTACTTGATTTGTTTATCATTTGTTTATTTGATATAACTTTCTTCCTTTATTCAACAAAGGATATATAAGATGCGCTATATAATATAGTGTCATTAAAGTCATTAAATCCTGTACAAAATATCAATTATTACATTTTAATTATCACATTTGATGAAGAATCAATGAAATATTACACAAAGATACAAAAGTACTAGAACACATTTTGTACTTAATTAAATAGAATTACAATAATGTATTCATATTTTTAAAGATTTTAGATAGAACTGGTTTAAGACTTTTATTTCTTGAGTCGTTTTTACAAAAACGAAATATATATATATATATGTATGTATATATATATACACATATATATCGATATATGTATATGTATATGTATATATATATATATATATATTTATATGGACACCTGTACGCAACGTAAGCCTGCCACAAAATATATGAAATCAGAGTTATATATATATTATATTATTTATGATTAAAATTATTCTTAATATAATATGGAATTTTGTAACATAAGTTTGAATTCAACCAGGCTTGTATATAGTAAAGATGAGAAATATGCAATTATCACATTCTGTTTATTATTTCAAGGTTTCTTTTTCACTAAGAAATACAAAAGAAATCGTTTTACCAATTTTCAAGTCACGAATGTAATAATACTCTCTATTCGTTAAACGGCAGATGTATCTTGTACGCTTGATATAATTATTATAGAACATACGGAAAAAGAGCATAATTATTATTAATTGTAAGACAAAAACAACAACAATAATAATAATAATAATAATAATGAATTATCATAATGTATAAACTAAAGTAGAATCAGAAAAAAAAATAAGTTTTATCAAACATGGCACTATTTTGTAGTTTCTAGGTTTACCACGCATTGTATTTCAAGATTCGAACTAAATTTAATCCGAATGTTTTTAGCGTAACTGTATTATCATGATACATGTGCCTTATCCCCACCCCAAAAATTAAACTTGCTATCGATTCATAAGCTTTTATAGATGTAATATTCAATCTCTTGATCATAATTAAAGAAGAACATTTTCTTACCGCGACGTATATCATTTGCTGCATCATCGAAATGGTGCCAAACAAAGTGCGACGATTGATTATGTAACGACATTCAAACTTATTTATTTGTATTAATATCAAAGAATATTAAGCAATGAAACACAATACTTTGTGCTTTATTCCATTGAATTATTACGATCACTTAATATATAAGAAGAACACAGTATGATGCTTAAATGGGGGAGGTGGTACTTAATTTTTATACAATTTTCAAATATTAATAATATAATTCCTTTTATACATGATATTTGATTTATTAACGATTGACTTACAATTAGTCGTAATAAAATTTTGCTCTTTTTAGTAAATGAAGGACAAATTATTTTGTTAAATTATTGAAATATTTCATTGTCGTGATCACGATCTTTAACGTCTTCACTATTTCAAATTTCGCGCCATACAAATGTGCAATATATTGAACATATCTACAATCGCCGCCACCAGAGTAGTTATTTATGTTCACGTGATTACTTTTGTCAATTTGGACGATTTTTCAAAAAGAAGAATTGTGAAAATATGAAGAAATCATTAGGAAATAAACAATCAAAACTTGTAATAATATCTTCCGATGAAGACTATAGTGAAGAGGAAGAATGTCGTCGAGATATAAAGAAACAACAATTAAGGAAAAAACAAATCCAACCTATAATCTTATCTTCCGACGAAGAGAATGTTAAAAAAGAAGAATTTGTTGGTAAGAGGAAAACATTGAGTAATAAAGGAAATAAATTAATACTTGTATCTTCTGACGAGGACAAAGATGAAAAAAAAGATATTGATACGACGATTGTTAAAGAAAAGAAAGAAAATGTCGGTGAAGATGGTAAAAACGTCGTTTCAAAGAAAAAAGTAGATGTAAAAAGGAATGTAAAAAAGGATGTCAAAAAGGATGTCAAAAAGGATGTCAAAAAGACTTTAAAAAGGACAATTAAAGATGTAGATGAGACGTTAACGAGTAATTTAAATAAGAAAAAGAGAAAATTAGAGGAAGATGTATCGAATAAAAACATTGGTATAAGTACAATTTCTATGGAATGTGTGGAATGGACAGAAATAGATTACATTTGTGAAGTACAAAATATTGGTAAACAACAAGCAGAGAATATTGTGAAACTTTTTCGAGATGAAAATACTATACCTTTTATTGCAAGGTATAGAAAAAACATGACAGGTGGTATGGAAGCGGATCAATTAAGATTGGTGAAAGAATGTTTCGATAGAGCCAATGCAATTAAACATCGCACTAATACAATTATTAAAGCTATCGACAAATTAGGAAAGTGGACTCCGCAGATTCATGCTGCATTATTATCTACCAAATGTGAGGACGATTTAGAGTATATTTATTCCATGTTTAAAGATACGTCTAAGCAATCCTTGGCAGAAAGGGCCAAATCGATTGGCCTAGGTCCTATAAGTAATGCCATTATAAAAGGGGATAAAATACCTCCTTTGGTCTCTCTAGTTAATAAAGAAAAGAAAGGATTGCAAACGGAGCAACAAATAATGGAAGGAATTGTACATATTATAGCTGATATAATTAGTAAAGATAAAGTTATTCTTGACAAAGTGAAAATGCTTGAAAACAAATTTATTATGGATATTCATACAGCGCCATTAAAAATAAGAAATAATTCTAAGGACATAAAAAAAGAGAAAAGTGTAGATATAAAAAAGTATGAAATATATTTGAATTTCAAGAGTAACACGAGAGATATTAAACCGTATCAGATTTTAGCTATTAATAGAGCAGAGTCACAAAAAGTACTTGCTGTGAAAATCCTTATACCTGATTGTTTGGAACAATTATTTATAAGTTATTGTATTGATTTGTTTCACAATGCATTTAATGTATCAATCTCACATTCGAAGTTATTGAGAGACAGTATGGATTATGCGTTTAAAAGGTATATTAAACCATTGATAATTAGAAAAATACGAAGAGAATTAAAAGAAAGAGCTGACAATGCATCCATAGAAGTATTTGCTACCAATGTCAAACAGTTACTTTTGACGCCGCCTGTGCGAGGAAAGGTTGTATTAGGTATAGATCCAGGTTTTTTTCATGGATGTAAATTAGCAGTAGTGTCGGAGCAAGGAAACGTTTTAGAAACTGCTATTATATATCCTCATAAAAAAGGGAAAGATTTAGAAAAGTCGAGGATAATTTTGATCGATTTAGTAAAGAAATATAATAGTACTGTCGTAGCACTTGGCAATGGTAAAGCATGCAGAGAGACAGAAAAATTTCTCTCTGATTTAATTCAATCGAAAGCCTTTAAACCACTCGACGTTTCTTATACAATAGTCAACGAATCAGGAGCTTCTATATACAGTTGTAGTTCCGAAGCCACACTCGAATTTGGCTCTGGCCAACTCGATCCAAATATTATCTCTGCAATTTCAATCGCGAGACGTTTACAAGATCCGCTTGCTGAACTGGTCAAGATAGAACCAAAACATCTCGGAGTAGGAATGTATCAACACGATTTGCCTGAAAAGCAGTTAATGCAGTCGTTGAATGAAGTTAGTATATATAATTGATTATTACATCACATCATGGATCTTTTCAAATAAATATAATTGGATAATTGATGTTTTTTAGGTTGTTACAGAAGTAGTCAGTTTTGTCGGTGTCGATATCAACACGGCTTCCCATTCTCTCCTTACAAAAGTTGCTGGTTTGAATAAAACTAAAGCAACTAGCATCATCAAATGGAGGAATACTGAAGGTCCATTTTTAAACAGGAAACAATTGTTGAAAGTAAAAGGCATTGGCGGTAAAACTTTTGAACAATGTGCTGGATTTATAAGGATTCTACCAGAAACAGTAATTGTTGCTGGAAGTCAAATAAATCAATCCAAAGATCCTAATGAATCTCTCAATTTTTTGGATCAAACTTGGATTCATCCGGAATCCTATTCTGTAGCCTATGAATTCTTAAAATTGACAGGATGCAACGTAGAAGAAATAGGCAGTTTGTCTTTCATAAAAACAATCAAAGCGTTCGCCGAAGAAAACGGCCCGAATGTTCTTCTTACACAGTTGCTGACGGACGAAGACACCTTACAAGTTATAATAACAGGTTTAACAATGAAAAAAGACGAAGATATAAGAATTAATTTTCATAAGCCTTTGTTTCGTTCTTCTTTGCAAAACATCAAAGACTTGACTAACGGTACTTTGCTGAGCGGGGCAGTCAGAAACGTTACGGATTTCGGTGTATTCGTAGATGTTGGGTTAAATAAAAATGGTCTTATGCCTGCAAGCCTGTGTAAGGGCCAAACATTTTACGTAGGTCAACACGTGGAAGTAAGAGTCGTCAACATCGATTACATATTGGATAAATTCTGCTTGGAATTTGTAAGGTCTATTTGAAAAAGCGATATAAAAGAACATAAATATGTGTATAATCGTAAAATAAAGAATATTTTTATTTCATGATTGCAGAGGAATATAGAGAATTTATTATAATATAATTAAATTGGAAGTATATTATTTGAACTCGTAGCATTGTTAACAATGACAGATTAATTGATTTTTCGAAGAAGTAGTGTTTTTTGTGTCGGTAACGGAAGGGTTGACCGCTCGAAGAGTCTTTGCAGACCGTCGATCAATATACACCAGTCCTCGTCTAACGGCGGCGAACCAGTAAGAAGCTACATTTTTTTTTTTTTTTTTATCATTTTTTCTTTCCTTTACTCATGTTCATTTTTTATTCGCGTAATTTCTATCTACTGTGGAAAAACGATTCTAGGGACGTGTCCATAAATAATTTCATTCCAGACGACGGGGGTGTTCAAGAAAATTATATATCACGATCGACAGGAATAAGATCTAGGGGTATTAAACGACACGATATTTGCAAATTTGTATATTATCGAATGATGTTTTTTAAACGTAACGATTACTACTTCAACTTAAACTAGATTTTATTTGCACGATAAAACGATATTACTCGAGGATCCATCGACCCAGAAAACATTTTTCGCACGAATTAACGAATAAGAGATTTATTTCATAAATGTTACGTCTAATTCAAATGAAATATAAAATAGAAGTAGCGCGTTTAAAACTCTACGATAAATGTTTCCAAATCAATTTAAAATTGGAATGGACGCTAAAAGTGTTTGTGGACGAACTCGACTGATTGCGAAAGCGCTCTCGCTAATCCTCCAGAACACAATTGCGTAATTTCGTAAAAGCCGTTGCAATTTCCCTTGACAATGATTATATTTGTCGAAAGTCTAGAACAATGGCTTGTTATTTTGTATGTCTAGTCTAGGACGCGATGTTTATTTTCTCTGGTTCAGGGTTGCGCTTGTCAGGAAGTGCAAGGGAAGTGCAGAGGGTGTTTTGCTGCTAGTGCTTTTTTCCCTGGCGTCGTCTAGACGTCGCGGCGCCGGTTTTCAGGCATCAGCTGTTTTACGGAAGTACGCTCGATGAGAACCACTCGAGCACCGCGTCCCTTATCGATCCACGCCAAGACCAATTTCAACCAATTTCAACGTCAATTTTTCTAACGTAATCTCAAACAAAGGCATTGGATTTGCTTCAATTGATATTTCCATGATATTGCTAATATATGCGTATAGAGAGCAACGTTTGAAATGTTACGTAGGAGGTAGACTTTCGACCTTAACGTCCATCGACATTTAGGTTGCTTCGCCCACACGACTCGCCAACTTATTACAACTCACGTTATTTAGTTTTTGCTTCGGTCACTAATTTTCCTCAGTTTCGTATTTCCTTTGAATTTTGATCCTCGAGTAAAATTCCACTTAATGAAAATATACCAAATGGAATTTGTCGTTGGTGCAAAGTCATCACTTTAAAGTGTTCGATGAAAATCTGAGTGGTGCTTTGAGGGGGGAAAAAAAAGCGATAAAGATGCAATGACATTTTGGTTTCGGTTGGTTTTCGGTTTCGATTAACAGCTTTTTGCCATTCCGCTCACACCTTGCTTCGTCGTGAATTTACCATAACGTATACCGAATTCCGAAGAAACTTCAACGAGCGAACTCGATTTCGCAAGTTTTCCAAAAGATTGCAAATTATTGTTACTCGGATTTTCGATCTTTTTTTTTCCCCCCCTCGACTGTGTAGCTTCGCAAAAGGATCGATATTTAAATCAGAAAAGTAAGGTAAATGGAGTAGGACAGGAAGGAGGACCTAGGGGGATTCGTAGTTTTTGGGTATTTTATACATTCGTCAATTTGCATATCCTTTTTTAAATTCTTCTTGCGGAATTCCATTTGAACGTATACGCTCTCGTGTTTTCCATTCTTCTCTCGCGTTGTCACGACATTCCTTCTCTATATTGTACGAAGAAATTTCTAAGTTTACCACCGTGCTTCCAAGTTTCATTACATTTTAGCGTAGCTTATAAAAAAAAAGTCTCTGCACAACGAAGCCAAGAGAATAGGAGAATCCCTGTATTGAATCCCTGTATTGAATCCCTGTATTAAATCCCTGTATTTTCGTTGAAGCCTTGTTTAGCACGAACCGACGAATAACATTTCTTACAAAACCTACAATATTCGTTTGTCAATGGAGCATCGTAGTCGCCGCAGTTGAATCCATTTTGCAAGTTTCTATGGAAACGCGAAATAATTGTACCGGGTTTTGCCTTTTGCCGCGTCCTTTTATTCGTTCGCTTTTTCATATTTTGCGCTATGCAAAAATGGATATTTGAAAGGTAAAATGTTGCACGTACAAGTGGAGGGATTAAAACCGTCTTTCTCGTCGCATTCCCTTTGCCATTTGACGACGCGTCAAGCGACGCGTTCTATCCAAACTTTGATGATTACTTTAGGATCGTTAAAGTTAACGAGAAGGAGGGAAAGAAATCTCGTCAATATGTCGAACGGCAAGCGTACTAATAGTTGCAAAACATTAACTTGCACTTGTCTTAGGAAGCAACTAGGAAATTATTCGCTTTTCGATAATTATTATCATATTATAATGGCTAGCAAAGCAATTAGCACGAGTCGGTTAATTAAACGAAAGGAAAAAGGAATTGTAGCGTGGTTCCACCGTACTACGCATCGTGTCTTCGGTCTTCGTATTTCCAGCGTATACTTTACACCGTAACGAAAGCAGTCATTCTTGAATATCGCCTTTCGCCTTAACCCACCAGATTCGAGAATGAAAGTTGCCACAGAAGTTGGCACTACCTTTCCCTCTTCTAAATTCATTTCGTTAGGACACTAAGCATCTTCCAAAATACCAATTCGAATCGTAATCCGAACGGATATACCGTTAGAAAATGGATAATTGGCGGCTTGCCTTACGCTTACGCTTTCCACAGTAATTATGTATTTCGTAGTAATTAAGCCTTTGCGATAGCGGATAGAATAACGCAAGCGAGATCGCCCAAGTATCTCGAGTTTCGAGCCGCGTACATATTTTATTACTCCGATGGTTCTTTTCGTTAACAAGCGCCGCTTCGTTTTTTCGTCTTGAAACTGAAGCTCTCGTGAAAGATCGAGCATCGTACGCTTTACTGATTTAATAATTCCAGATGAAAAAAAAGAGAGAGAGAGAGAGAGAGAGAATACGTACGTATTTGGACAGTGCATCGAACGTAGCCAGCCAGGTGCACTGTGCTCGGTTTACGTCAGCGATCTAGTCGTCTCCTATAATTCACGCGCCGATAGAAATATCATTTGCTCTAGTATTCAATAAAGTTGTTGTTCGGTTCACCTGGCCTACCAATAATAATCGATAATACTGCGCAAAATGCTTCTACCTTAACCGTCGTTAACTGTTATGCAATTACAATTGTATGGTTTCGGTCTGCCACTGTTACATAAGTTCAACAATCGGATATAGAATCGTACATTTTCGTTTGACGCGACGATTACGTAAAACGGACTTTCTTCCTTTTATTTTTCTATTATTTATGCAAACGCGGCCAGTAATTTAATCACCGAGACACGAAAGATTCAGTTTACTTCCGGACACGTCGAAACACTTTGAATTCTATGTTCTATGTTAGTTTCATTGGAGAATACAATGTTTACATTAGAATGCTGCTTATTGCCTTTTAATTTAGTTTCAACGTCGAAATATCGATCGAAGTCATCTTCGAGAAGCAATATTATTACAGAGCCGACGTAACACAATTTTCCTGGATAGGTAGGTATACGAGTTGAAAGAGCGCGAATAACTTTTTTTATTTCCTACCAGACTACGAAAAGTATTGTATAACACTTGTGTTTCTAACTTTTCTCCTCGCTTCCGGTGTACTACTCGGATACGCGAGAATAGGGGCCCTCCCAATGATACTCCAAACCGATACATATTTCCGGGCCAACCAACGACGACAACGACCCAACGACGACCGTAATTCCTTCAATATTGCTGTTAACTTCCGAATCCTCCTCTATGCCTTCGTTTTCGCCTTTCCATAGGATCGATATTTTCTAGTTTGATGCACTTTTTATTTTTATTTTTAAATGACAGCAAAGTGGTCTCATCAAAGGACATCTGTATGCGTCAGAGTGCAAAGGTCAAACTGGTAGCACCGTTAACGAGGTAGAGCCTTAACCTCGTTAATCACTGGTAGGTCTTGCGTCATTCAGAATGCAGCGGTCGTCGCAATGGTCGTCGCAATGGTCGTCGCAATGGTCGTCGCAATGGTCGTCGTCAACGTACTTATTCATTTTTCTTCTTTCGACAAATCCAAGCGAAAGCTAAGCAAACTATGGCAACTCGTTCGAATTTATTTTTAGCGTAGCATCGATAAGAGAACTGATATGATTCTCATAATTGAGAAATGATTCAGATCGTCGGTTTAAAATTCGTTAAGATGTAAGGCGGAACCAGTTTGTGACTCATCGTGAGATCGCAACGAGAGAAGGCGAGACCTACGGATGGGAGCTCCAACTATGGATGACTTTGGATGGAAAAAAAAAGACGCGTCTAATAATAAAGTAAATAGACTTTCGAAAACAATGGAATCGCTCGTTAAAAAGTTATCAAGGATTTTTTGTCGAATGTGCTTTCTACCTTTCGGCCTTCAGCTCGAACACTTACAATTCTCTACGCATATTATTCCAAAGAGAAAACTTTCTTTACCCTGTAAGAATTATGCGGTGGTCTTGGGGGGTACGGTACGGTACGGGGAGCGGGATAGACGCTCGCATAAAAGTAATGGAACCCTCCGTGAAATATTATCGTTTCGACGTGCGGCTCGAATTTAAGCGTGATTTATCGGGCTACAAGCTCCAACGGGAACAAGATGCACCTTAAATAAAGAAAATAAGAAAAATATTCTCGACAGTCAAAACCGTTAGGTCGATGTATAACATTTCACAAACTGATCAAAAGAAATTATCAAAAGGTGCTGCTCATCTAGTCTCTGGGTTGTGTCCGACGATAAGAGAACGTGTGCAAGGACAAAAATAGGTAAGAAGAAGAAGAGGAAGAAGAAGAACGGT